CTCTTAACCTCTCTCCCACTCTCTCCCACTCTCTCCCTCTCTCTCATGCTCTATCTCACTCTCTATATTGTATTTATTTTGTTATTTGCCCGCTTAGATTTGTCCTTGCCCCGCCACGCCCACCGCATTTATGTTGTTGATAAAATGATGTGGCCCGCCGCTTTTTGGGCAGCGGGAAGGTCGGGAGGAGGGTTGGCTGCAGTTGCGCTTGCAGCCGTATTTTGCGGAAAGTTTCTATGACTGTTTATTAAAGAGCTAAGCGCACTTAATAAGCTTATGGGCGGGGCGGAACGTGCTGCATGTCGGCCATGGCCCCAGTGTTGAGCAGTGCCCCGTTACAAGGAGTGTTGAGCAGAAAATGTATGCCATTCACACAATTCACAAAACAATTTAAATTAAATAGAAACTCACAAATGCCTTAGACTGGCTTTGACTTGCCTCGGCAGCCCTCTCTCTCCCTCTCTCTCTCTCCCTCTTTCCCTCTCCCTCTCCTGACAGCAGTGCAGCTGGTAGAGCAGCAGCTGCTGGAATGTGTTTTAAAATAATATTGCATAATAGCCGACTGAACAGCCATAAGAAGCCATGGCAGTGGCTGCACTGTGTGCAAAATGTATAAATTTTTAGTTCACAAAAATAATCTATTATATATTAACATTCTTTATATGCTTTTTCACCTAAATTTGGGCTCCTGCAGTACATTAAAGAATGCCTAAAAATGCAATTAATTTATCTCATTCCCAAACAGCTTCAATTAACTTAACAGCTTTTGATTTTGCTTACATTTCTGCTATATAACATAACAGTTTTTACATATTTACAAATGTAAAGTATTCAAAGTGCAATGTTAGCAGAAATGTTAAGATTAAAGTATTGCTAGAAAGCTGTACGTGTATAACAGAAATATGCTATTCTATGGACAATTCAGTAACTTTTTGGCCACAAAAAGTCTACATTTGGCCCACAGTACCAAAGCCAGAAGCAATGCAAGAAATAGCTGAGCATGCTTAAGTTTGTTTTGTATGCGTACGTGTATGTATGTGCGTGTGTGTATTATTGTGTGTGCTTGTGTGTTTGCGTGCAAACATTTTAATTGCTCAAACATAAGTCGAACAAATTGAGTGTCCCAGGCTCGGTGACGAGCACTTTGCTTTGCCAATGGCTGCCGCTGCTGACAAGAATGCATTTTACTTCATAATTCGTTCGGCACTTAATCGGATTGCGGCCGTGTGCAAATCAAATACAATAAACAGTAAAGTCCTTTGCCAGGCGGCCGCAGATCGTCATTAATATGCGTAAAACGCAACGGAAACCGCGCCGGATTTAATAATATTAAAACATCGGCAACGACGACGACGACGACGACGACGACGACGACGTCTGCCGCAACCTTCGCTTACCACTTAACATAATGATGACTGTGGTGCGGGGGCGTGGCGAGGCGAGTTCTGGTGGCTTGCGGTGTCGTTTGCCGTGGTGTGATCTGGTTTTGGGTCGCCATTAAACGCAATTAATTGCTCACACTTAACACAGACGAAACAGTCAGACCGGAAGCTCAAAAACTGCCGTCAACCGTCACCAGTTCCCAGTCAGCAGTCAGTCATTATACAACACTGGCAGCTCGTGCTGATGCCCCCTGCCCGTGCGGGTCTGTTAATTACGCACGTATGGCTATTTAAATTGGCTTTTCTGTCGGTTCGAAATGTTAGTTTTATGTTAATTAACCATTGTTTATGCCAATTATGGCATCTGTGCTGAGGCAGAAGCTTCTGCCATGCTGCCAATCCTCTCGTGTGGCACGAGTCAGCATTTGTCCGGATTGCGGCTGGAGAGGAGAGTGGATACAACAAGGCCTGGGCATACGATGATAACAATTTGCAGCTGTTGTCTGCTAGATAACTTTAATTATGTCTCATCTTTATGAGCACATCTACACCTCAAATGGAAAGCAATAAGCTGTATGGGTCAGGAAGAACGGAAACCAGCTAAATGCATGGACAATACTTTACTCTTTGGCATACCTGACGTGGCTTAATTATAATATAGTATACGCATACAGTAGTCACTCGCAAAAGAGAACGCTTTCCTTTGAGTTCGATTCCTTGGCTAAGTGTAAATATTTTGTGGCTCAAGCGATTGTCAAGTGAGCATGACAGCTTTTAGCTATGCTTTATACCCGAAATAATCATAAATGAAGCTGTGCTCAATAAATGAGTTTGGGTTGCGGGCTCGAATCCCATGCTAACATTAAGTCACAATTGCCAAACAGCCTCTGCATATATTTTATGGCATGTCCCACTTTAGTTCGCAGCAAATTAATAATGCTCTCTGTTAAGAAATTGCTGCTGCTATCAGAATCATAGTTTAATATTTGTATGAATATTTTTGGCCACGTCTACAATGGCTCAAGCATATCAAAAACAAATCCGATTTGTTTGGCTCCTGCTCCTGTAATATATATACACACATATTACACTTAATTCGTCTCAGATTTTGATATGCGACGGAATTTGACAAGTGCTCCTGAAACGGAATTCTCGAATATGTGCGCGCGCGCTAGGCTGGGGCTAGCTGGGGGGCTTTCGTTGTCTGCTCAAAGACAAAAGGACATGGGTATCCAAGGATCTGTGTCGCACACACGCGCTCACACCTCGCTTTTTCTGTGCCATTGTTGCCAGCGCCAGACGCTGTCATATACACATGTGATTACTTATTGTGCTGCGAGTGTGTGCGTGTGTGCGTTTCAGTGTTGGAAAATGTGTGCACATAATGTGCTCTCTTTTGGTTTATGTATTTATATACACATTTCATTTCACTTAAGCTCTTTTAAACATATTTAAAGTACGTGATGTTTAATGTCTTCAGAGCATTTGCCCCACTCACACACACGCACACAGGCCGCCTAGGGTGTGTGTGTGTGTGGATTTCATTCTTTACCTTTTGCATAAGCAAATTTTAATATGTTTAACTCGTTTCGAGCGGGCATGAACAACTTTCCAGTCGCAGAGCGTTAATTTTTGAACAGCAGCCGCACCCTTCGATCTGTGTCTTGTGTGTGCCTGTGTGTGTGTGTGTGTGTGTGTGGCCTAGGCACATAAATGTCAACTGTCGCACTCATCCATCAATGAGCTTTGAAAAATTAACACTGTGAGCGACAGTGGCAAAGGACATCCATCCAGGATGAGAGCAACCAGCGACTGCGGCCTGTCGCTTTAAATTATGCAAAACGTTACAATTCCCTGGCTCAAAAAGGTGTGGCCAAAATGATGAATTGTGTTGCCAAAGAGTTGCCCTGTCCGACCCCGACCCCGCCCGCAACCGTTATGTGTGCCATGGCGGGCTATATTGGCCCCTGGTCAAACAACGTGACGAGTTTTACAGTGTCCGATCCACCTGTCCAAATAGATTCAATTCGATTAACTCGCATTGCACATCGGCATCCCAAAATGGCTACGTGACCAACGGCTGGGCGGGGCATTCAAGGATTGTAATTCAAATGTATTCACAGCGCGGAAACACGTCGAACGTACTTTAAATAGATAAGTCTATGCTGGAGCTGGCATTTACGTAGGGCTTAAGGAATGAAAATGTTGCCTTTAGCTTCATTTAAAATTGTGAATTTTGTTTTGGTGGAGTTGGGAATCAATAGGTATATTAAAGTCTAAATTCCGAGTTTTATGTTTCCGGCTTTTATGAGCCACGAGTTCCCTTCATACAGATGGTGGCTAACTCTTCTATTTATTCTATATAAGTTCTTAAGTCGCATTGAGTATTTTACAACACTATAAAGAATACCATTATTAAGTGTTCTGAACGAAAAGCAAGTTTAAGAATGCGAGTAATAGGAGTCTTATTTAAATGCCTTTTTTTAAACCTGAACATATTTATGCATATAACAAAAATTTATTTGTATAAATCTTTGTAACTGCAGCTCTCAGCTCTGACTCAATTTGCAACAGAATATATTTTCCAGTGCGTATTTATGAGCATTTGTTGCATTTTTTTTTTTTGCTTTTTTTTTCGCCATTTGCAATTCACTTTGATTTGTATTCCAAAAAGTAAACATCAACATGATTTCAAACCAGCAAAATGCAACCAACAACACAACCAAAGCAAACCCCACTGTCACATAAACACCCACCTCCACCCACACCCCCCCGCCCCCCCTTGCCCGACTCCAGCTTGCTAATACATTTTTATTTTTATGTATTTCTCTTGTCTATTTCTAGTTGTGCTTTTGTATTTGCCCATTTTAATGAGTGTAGCTAAAAACAACAACAAAATAAACCAAATACAAAGCATTTTTTACATCAACAACAACAATCATCAATACACGAATGTGACAATAAAAACAAAGCAAAAGCAAATTTAAAAAAGAAAGCAAGTCAAATTTTAGTTGCACCACAACAACAACAACAACAACAACAACAAGCACAGTGATAAAGCAAAAACGCAGGGAGAGAACAACAAACAACAACAACAACAACAACAAGACACGATATCCGATCAACTTAGTTGCCTTTAAAGCTGCATATATCCTGAATATCCTGCACATTTCAACATCTCGGTGTCTAGCGTGTGTCCTTGTGTGTCCTTGTGTGTGTGCTTGTCCAGTGTCAAGTGTCCCGTGTCCTTAGACCCACCGCCTACACACACTTTCCCGCTTACTCTTGCTAGCTCTCTCTCCATCTCTGTCTCTCTCTCTCTCTGTGTCTCTCTCTCTCTGTGTCTTTGTTTATCTCACTCTCCAGCCCTGTTTTTTGGGTGTCTAGCACTAAGCACTAGCGCACCACCAGCACCACCAGCAAGGGGCCGACAGCCAACAACAAGAACAAGAACTAGAACAACAATAAGAACAACAACAACAAGAACAAGTACAATTAGCACCACCGACCAGGTCAGTGTCTGTGTGATTACCCCTCTCCTGCTCGCCACACCATCCACATACCAGCACCACAATTGCACATTACTACCATAGATACCCACGGCAGTATTACTACCGCATGGAGCGCGGCACCAGCGGTGGTCAGCAGCAACAGTCGCAGTCGCACCATCCGCACCACCATCAGCAGCAGCAGCAGCAGCAGCACCACCACCACCAACAGCAGCAGCATCAGTCGCGGCACCAGCATGTGGTATCTGTGCATAGCTACGATCCGTATATGATTGCCGGCGATGCGGATGAGGAGCATACCTCGGGCACATCCTCCTTTGATAATCCGGCAACAAAAAAGAAACCGCCCAAGCTGAAGCCCATCCATCGTTCACTATCGATGGCCATTGATAATTATGCACCGATAGCGACCGAATTGGATTTAGATTTAGATGATGGCTTTATTGTGCATGAGCAGCCGCTGATCCACCGCTCGGCGTCGCCGCTGCCCGTGCGCTCGTCTGCACCGCCGCCGCAGACCCTAGCACTCCCAGCACAACAACAACAACAACATACTATTCCCCAACATATACCCGGTGGCGGCAGCGGTTCCGTGTCGCCGGCACTATCTGCACGCCAGCACCACCACCTACAACAACAACAACAACAACAGCACCACCAACAACAACAACACCAGCAACACCAGCTGCATATGCACACATTCCAGCAACTGGCCGCACAGGCAGCTGCTGCACGACACCACCAGCTGCCACATACGCATGCACCGCATCAGCACCGCCAGCACACGCACCCGAGCTCGAGCAGCTCACCCACCTTGCACGCGGTCAGCCCAGTGCAACAGCAACAACAGCAACAGCAACAACATCACCAACGACAACAGCAACAACAACATCAGCCGGATATCTATTTGGTCAGCAGCAGCAGCAGCCTGGGCGACAATGTGGGCGGTCTTGGCATGGGCCTGGGCCTGGGTCGCTCACAGCTGGGCGGCAGCGGCAGCACATCACCGATACAGTTCATCGATGTCGATGATATGCTGCCGCGTGCTGCCGCACAGCAGCAGCAGCACCACCCGCATCCGCATCCGCATCCGCACGCGCAGCAGCAGCAGCTGAAAAAGAACCTGTTCCGGCGCTCAGACACAATTGACGTTCATCCGTCTACCAATTTTCAGATGAAGAAAACGCATTCCTTCCACGCCCAACAGGATCCCGCCGCCATGGAGCAAATCCAGCTGGCCGTCGCCGCCGGCTCAGCCACCTCCAGCCGACGCACCAGCTCGGTACGTGCCAATTTCCTGATGCCCGGCCCGCCGGCCGGCAAGGAGATCTCCCGTTCGCCCTCGCCCAGCCGCCGGGGCTGTCGTTCGCATCGCTCCTTCAACGATCCCGGCCGACGACCCAGCAGCAAACCCGAGTCCGTGGTGGAGTCCCAAATCCGGCATCCCTCGTTGAACGATGATCTGCTGGAGCCGCTCGACGGCCGTTCGCTTTTTCCGCCAACGAATCTGTCGCTGGAGAACGAGCTGTTTGTGGAATCGCGTTCGCGCAGCAATAGCCATACAAAAATGGAGGAGCTGGGCGTGGCTGAGCTGGCGGCCGCTGCTGTGGCCGTGCAGCGCATGCGCAAGAGCTCCGGTTCGTTTGATGAGACGGCGCCTGTCCTGGCCGCCGGCCACAGCGCCACCCATCCGCCCGCCGCCTCCGCTTCGAACAGCATTAAGCAAAAGCGCGAGCCACATCCCCACTCGCGCCAGCAGAGCACCCACAGCCTGGAGCTGGACGGACGACCGTCCACCAGCAGCGCCGCCGCCCACACTATGCAGTTGCACAGCGCGGCGGCCGCCGCGAGCGCCGCGTATCATTTCAAGCGTGGCGCCCAGCACGGACGCTCACTGTACCTGTCGCCCAGCAATCTGGAGGAGCTGACCGTGCATCGGCCTGGCCTGCTGGCGGCAGCCGCCGCCTTTCAGGGCACCAATGCCAGCGCCAGCGTTAAGCAGGCCAAGGCACTGCACAGCGCCAGCGTACGGCTGCGCAGCTATCGCGAGGCGCTCAGCGCCACCAAGAAGTCCAAGAGCTTTATAGCCGAGGCCAGCGGCGCGACCTCGGCCGGCGATGATTTTGAGCTTGGCTCGTCCTCACCCCACCGAAGGAACAGTCGCCCGCTGTCGACGGCGGTGCCCAGCGTGGCGGCAGGCACGGCCGCTGTCGTCAATGTGGACGAGATCAAGCGCAGTCCACGTCCAATTACTGCTGCCGCCGTCGCGGCCGCGTTCATCGAGGAGAAGCGGCCGTCGTTCGAGCGCAAATCGTCGCTCACCTACGAGCACGAGCTGACCGATGCCGCCTTTGCCGCTCAGGTGCTGCGTCCCTTCCATCATAAACTGGCCGCCGGACGTAAGGCGTCCCTAAGCGGTGGCTCGCACAAGCTTAAAAAGAAATCGCTGAGCGACGACACCGACGAGGACGAGGAGGCGGACCGCAAACGCAAACGCATCGTTTGCATTGTCCTGGCCACGGTGCTGTTGTGCCTCGTGTGCGCCAGCGTCTTCGTGCTCATCGTGACGCTCACCTCCGGCCAGAGTCAGTCCGGCAAGAAGTCGCACACCTTCAGCAGGGACACGCCCGTCCACTACACGGGCATGCGACCATCATGAACTCCAACAACAACAGCAATCGATTGCCGCATTCGGCACAGTGCTGCACTTTTGGCTATTTCGTTGGCTTTCACTTCCGTTTCCGCTGCGCTAACATGCACTTCAACTTCTACTTCTTCTGCTTCTTCTTCTTCTTCACCACTCCTGTGTCCCGCATTCTGTGTGTGCGTGCGTGTAATTGTGAGCCGCTTCGATTGTTCTCTCCAGTGCCACAATAGTCAACCAGCTGCCAGCAGCTGGCTAATTGAGGATGAGCCGCAGCAGCGGAAACAACAACCACAACAACAACAACAATTGGCCGCAATTCGTGAGAATTACAATTGAAAAAAGAACGCATCTAATCGCGCGCCTGTAAGTAGGCAATGCCTTTTTATCACAACTATTTCCGTTTTTCCATTTAAGTTGTCGCCCTTTTTTATTTTGTTAACGTTATCGATTATCATAAAGAACTGCTCTCGCAGTAAAAACCCGTTCGGATTTTTTTCAAAACAGTGCAAACTATAAAATAAAACACGTTTACCAACACTACAGAAAGCAGAAAGCACGTTAAATGCAATGAGTTGCTCACGGTCGTGTCACGCATGAAAACCCGACACGCGTTCAGCCCTAGTCTTCTATTGTCCTAGTCAAAACATAACCAAAAACTTAACCAAAAAATAAATAAATAGCTACTTTTGAAGTGGAAACCAGTTCGGATTTGTCCAACACAGTGCAAACTATAAAATACAACAAGTTTACCAACACTACACAAAAGCAGAAAGCACATTCAAGTTAATTTAAAACGAAAAATTACTCAATTAATCAAAATATCAATGAATTTGCGATGAGTTGCTCCCGTTCGTGTCACGCATGAAAACACGACATTCGTTCAGCTCTAGTCTCTTTATCAAAATATAACCAAAAAAACAAATAAATAAATAAATAATATTAAAAAAACAACAGGTCAATTTATCAATTGTTTCTCTGGCACAAAATATTTTCGACTTTTTGCCAAGCCAATAACAAATGTCAATAATAATTTTCACTCAATTTGTTTTTTTTTTTTGGGGGGGGGTTTTTTGTTACTTAACCATACAAAAATTCTTGCTCATGGCATGATTTTAAAATAAGGCAAAGTTTTTGACCAAATATGTAAGCCATATATATGTTATGTGGTCAACGTGAACTTTGCTGGCAGCAATGTGTGATAAAAAGTAACTTTTGTGTGAAATTCAGTTAAATTGATTGCAGATTTTGTAAAAAATGTTTGCCAAACAAAACTGCAAGTCACTTATAAATATTTGAAAATGTTTTCTTTTTAATATTTAGCGTTAGCAAAATCATGATTTAAGCTTACCTTGTGGTAGAAGCTGAAGAAATTTTACCGAGCGAATGAAATGTTCAAAAATGATGTCGAAAATTTGAAGCAAAAATGCGTTGAAATCCGATTTCGATATCCGAAAGATACGAAAGAATGACAATCGATAATCGATATCTAGAAGAGTTGAAAAATCGTACATCAATTAAAAGTCGGTAAAAAATAACCGATATATTGAAATTTTTAGTCTTTTCAGAAAATTTCTATTCGAAATTTCTTTGCACAAATGATGTTGGACATAGTATCCCATTTAATATATATAAATCCTATTAGATCATTTAATTCAACTACAGTTCATGCACTCTCTAAAATTGCGAACAAATCCGAATGCAATTGGTTTCCATTCTTCGATGCCATTTGATTTTGGTATTACATATGCAAACACATGCAGGATAGTTATCAGACAGATTGGGTGGGTGAAAGAAGGGTGGGTGGGGGGTGGGTGGGTCAGTTGGCCATATGCCCCATAAAGCCATACAAATACCGTTACGTATTCCCCAATGAGCAGCTGCCAGATGCTGACTTACGAAAATTGAGCTGGCAAAAGCTCAGCAAATCTCGAGCATTACATAACCGACTCAATGACTAAGCGACTGCCTGACTAACTGACTTGCAAACACCAACAGCAGCACACACACACGCACACACACAACACACACATGCGTTGGCCATAAAAAATGATGCTTACCTCGACTTTAATGACTGTGGCTGTGACTGCAGCAGCAACAAGCAGCAGCAGCCCAAAGCCAAAGCCAAACCAAACTAATCAGCACTGTCTGTGTGTCTGTGTGTGAGAGAGAGTGTGTGTGTGCGTGTGTGTGTGTTGTTTAGCCAAGCACAGACAATGACAATGGGCTGTGAGCACTCACTGACTGACTGACTGACTGACTGACTGAGGGACAGTTGGGCCTGCGTCTGCAAGGACCTTTTTGTTATCATGCTCACTTTTTATACTTTCACTTAATAGTTGTGTGTGTTGTTTATGTGTGTGTGTGCGTGTGTGCATCGTTACGGGCAACGTGGCAACGGCTGTGGCATCCTTTTTATATGTGCGCCCACAGACATGCACGCTTATTTACACACACGCACACACAACAACATCACACACACACACACACACACACACACACACACGCGTAATTTTGCGTTTACGACATGAAACTAGGTTACTTTTTCATGTGCGTGTGAGTGAGTGTTGCAGCAACAACAAAAACAATAAGAAGGAGCAACAATTGTTTACTGTTGGCAACGTGCCTCGTCCTGGTGACATTGCCCGCTCGGCTGGCTTCACGTCCTTGTCACAGTGTCCTGTCCTGTGAACGCCGCGCGGCGTGAGCAAATGCCCACGCGACCGCACGCCAAACAGCAAAAACCAGCAGCAACAACAATAACAATCTCCTTTAGACACGCCCACAAAACGCATCAACAGCAAATTGACAGGCACATAGAATGCGTCTGATGGAAATGTCAAAGATATGTCTTTACTCTCATTTTTATACCCAAATAATAGGCATCAAATAATGAAAATGTCATCAGAGATAGCTGCAGAAATAATAAAGAAAAGAAAGCACAACTATATGTGTGAATACCCTTACTGGACTCCAGTTGTTATGCTTATCAAGAATATATACTATATTAAATGATAAGTGAGGTTATGTTCCATAATTTGAGGTTAGGTCAGAATAGTTGAGGTGAGGCTAACTTAGTTGAGGTTTGATTAGATAAATTGAGGTTAGGTTAGCTTAGTTAGATATGTTGTGGTTATGTTGGATTATTTGGGGTTTGATTAACTTAATTGAGGTTATGTTAAATTAGTTGAGGTTAGGTTGGAATAGTTGAGGTTAGGTTGGAATAATTGAGGTTTGATTGAAATTTTTGAGGTTAGATTGAATTAATTGAGGTTAGGTTAAGTTGAGGTTAGGATGGGTGGTTCGATCTCTCACCACGCACATCTCCGTGATAAATAAATAAAAAACGACAAACAAAACACTAATTAATAAAATGAATTATTAACAATTAAACTATCATTCAAATAAAAAAAAAGCATTAACACAGTTTAAAATTGTTAAAACGTTTGTTTGGGTGTCATTTACACGTATTAAAATAATTGTAATTATAATTATAATTATGCGTATCAGTGCTTTAACGCACATTCAACTGAAATATAAGCCGAGCCGACTTTTCATTTAATACCGTTAAATGTCAAAGTCAGTGAACGCAAAAGTTCAACTCATCAGCGCGGGGAAAAGCGTGCGGAAAATGCATGATGGAAATTTAAACAAGCATAAATAATCGAAAAACGAAATTAATATCGAACATGATAAGCAACAACAAAAAATTATTAATAACATTTTTTGAAATGTGATTTCAAGTGCAGAGAAAATTCCATTAATCGAGCTAAAAGCCGATTTAAAATGGGTCCCAATTATTAATTTAATATGAAACGAAAATCTGCTTAAAGTAGAGTCTGAGAAAAATATGTGTAATTAATGCCAAATACAGTGGACGCTCGCTAAATCGAACGCCTCTATTTAAGAGTAATTCGGATTTTTTTTTTTAGGATTTTTTCTAGCCCCACTTTATAAGAAATTTTATATAATATTTATGTACAAATATTTGAATTGTTACAATTTAATTTCTTGTGCGAGTAAGTACTGTAGTTTTCTGATTTCACCATAATTTGCTAATTCTCTTATCAAGTTACTTTGCTAATTGATTTTTTATTAGTTTTTTACTATATAAAATATATTTGCTATTCGCCATGCTCCTAAGTTCCTCAAGGTACGACACTCAGCGTAATTAGTTTTTCTTTTATGAGGTTTATATTCATTTTGTGAAAACCTGATTTTGATAGCCTTTGCCTAAGCCTTTCAAAAAGTCAGCGCCCATATTTGAGGGAGCGAAACCTTAAAATTGCATCAATAATTTCAATTAAAGAGCAACAAAACAACAACAACAACACACACACACACACACCACTTGCACGCTGTAAGTGAAGCAACTTCAGCCACTCGGAGGCCGGAAACTAATTAGTTACATTGTAGTTACATAGTCGTCGGTCTTCATCCGTCATGACTGCACATCAGGAGGCAGCTGCCCGGGCGTGTTGGGTGCGGGAAGGGGGTAGGCGGGGGCACGAGCTGGGCTGTTGCTTTCAACGCCGCATTTATAATTAAACAACATGAAAGACACAAAGAAGCACACCTGGTCACACACAACACACTTATACACACAGCTGGTCACACGGCACACAAAGCCAGCGACAAAGTGAGGCTGAAAGTTACACGGCGGCATTTATGAGCGCCCATAATGGCTGTTAACAATTTAACTTGTTTACCAGTGGGAAAGTTCTATGCTAATTGGTCTCAAATAGCCACACACGCACACACGCACACACACACGCACACACACACGCACACACACACACACACACTGTGCCCCATTGTGCTCAGTAACTGTGTGCGGGCGGCACTTGCCAAGTGAATAATGGCAGCCAGCCGCAGCCGCAGCGTCACCTGTGTGTGCCTCTCACCCGCTGCACCTACACTCCACGTCAACCCCCCTCCACCCCCCTGTCGTCATTAACACATTGCGCCTACGCCTCAAAGCGGCTGGGGACAGAACGATTACAAGCACAGACCACGTGATCCGCTCCAGACTCTTGTTTGAGTTTTTTGTGCGCTTGCCTCTTGCCTCCTGCCCAGCGACAGTTTTTTGCCGCATTCCTGTGCCTTGTGCATATATTAAATTTAATTTGTTATTTTAATACCCTCTAAAAGCGGTTGCCCTGAAGGAGTTGTTAGCCGCAGTTGTAAAGTTTTGATTTGTTAAGCTTTTAAATTCATATAAAGCTTTTGACTCCGCCTGAATTGCTTCATTATAATAAACGTATACCCTGTAATTTTCTTCTTTTTTTTTTAATTTTGTTAGAAAAACAGTGTTGAAAACAGTGTTGTTAATTTGCTATAAATTAAACATTGTTATATTACAGTTGAATATTAATTGAAGGAATGCATTTTATTTTATCTTCATACCCAGAAAAGGAATAAAAAGGGTCTAATGTATTTGTGCATGTGTATGTAACAGGCAGAAGAAAGCATCTGCAACACCATTTGATTATTATTATTATTATTTTTTATTTATTATATATTTTATTATATTTTGTTTAATAAGTTCGCCTTCATATTCATGCTTTAAAAATGCACATATTACAGGGTATCTTGAAAGTCGTTTACTTAAGGCTTATTCCTATCCTTTTTTTTTTTTTGCTATAATAAACGAGTAACTAATTTTGCAATTAAATAAAAGCGTTCGTAAATTACTTGAATATTTGGTCGCCGTTTTTGTGGGTCGCTGTGTGCGTGTGTGTGTGTGTGTGTGAGAGTCAGCCATTTGGGGCAAGTATTTTTTAATTAAATTTTTGTAGCGCACATTTGGTGCAGGCCAGGGTTAAACGAGTGTGTGTTTGCAGCTGCAACGCATGTAGATGCGGCAGCCAAACAACATGCCACAGTTGCAGCAACTGTGTTGCAATATCAAGTTAAATCATTGGGAAAACAAAAAAAGAAAAAAAAAGCCATTGCTACCAAAAAACGGAACAAAGTAAAACCAAACAAGTTGTGGGCCAAGCGAACAGCTAAAACACAATCAGACCTGCGAGCAGACCAACTTTCTGGCTCACCCACCCTCTCAACACCCCCCGCCCCCCCCCCCTTCCACCCCTGGCAACGCCATCCACTGCCAGTGTGTGCACATGTGATTGATTGGCAAACAAATTTTTGACACTTTACACCAGCATCTGTTGCAGCAGCAGTTGGTGCCACGCCCACATGCCATGAGTCAATTTGTTTGCCATTAATTAAAAGTGTTGTAAAATGCACAAAAGCGTCGCGCAAACAACATCAAAAATGGCGCTGACTAAAGTCGAAAGACGCGTTGGGGGCAGGGTTGTATTTTGCATATGGCGATGAACCGGAAACGGAAACAGAACGCGCGTCGCTCACAAATGTTGAACTGTGCTTAAAGTAAATAGTCTGGATTGATGAAAGTTATATTCAAGAATTCATCAACAGGCATTTACTTCAACTGCAGTTTAAACGAAATGCAACAGAAGAAGGATTCGAAGCGTGAAGTGTGCCAAAAAAAAAAAAAAAACATAATTATAAATAAAAACTTGTTCCATTAGAGCTTAAGGCAAATGCTATATATAAACATTATAATATATATAAATTATTTATGCGATATTTATTAAACTTGTTAAATTTCTTGTCTGTTTCGACCAGTGCGTCAGGAGAACGAGCGCAGCATGCGCGAGAACCTGGAGCGCACGCTCATGATGAAGAACCTCACGGAGCTGAATCTGCAGCGGCAGCAACAACTGCTGCACCAGGCGAAACAGCAGCAGCAGCAACAGCATCTGGCGCTGCAGCAACAGTTGCTGCAGATTCCATAACAAACGCTTGACGAGCATTTCTAATGGCAAAGGGTTATGCATGTTCTGTTACTATTTACCAACACTGACACTGGCATTGTTCAACACTAAACAACCGACAAAAGTTATGCGCACAATATAAGAAACAAACAACACTTTGTTAACTACAATTAAAAGAATTGGAGCATGTGGAAGGACGCTACAATGAACAAAATTAACTAATTAAGCTGATAGAAATTAAAAAAAAAAAAAAAACAAAACCTATTTGTTTGATATGCGAAGCAGAAATAAGCAACAAAGCAAACACAATACGAGTATTTAGCAGATTGTTAGTCAAAGTTGGAAGAAACCAAAAACCAAAAACTAAAACGAAAACCAAAACTAAAACAAAAACAAATCAAAAAGTGATCCAGTTTAGGCCTCAGTTGTGCGGGCAGAAAAATATGTTATTTATAAAGTTGGTTCGATGCATTGTAAAAATGTATTTATTGTCATGTACGTTAAATGTAATTTACGATCTGTTATGATCTGTTACGATCTGTTACGATCTGTTACGATCGGCTACGATCTGTTACGATCTGTTACGATCGGCTACGATCTGTTACGGTCGATTACGATCTGTTACGATCTGTTACGATCTGTTACGATCTGTTACGATCTGTTACGATCTGTTACGATCTGTTACGATCTGTTACGATCTGTTACGATCTGTTACGATCGATTACGATCTGTTACGATCTGTTACGATCTGTTTCTACGTCTTGAACTAGACGTAGTCATCGTTGTTGTTGCCAATGCGCTAGCTAATGTACAAGTATGCAGCCCTCTCTCTGTATGATATCCAAGCCACGCCCACAAACAGAAAAACATTTGTTAAATTGCAGTCAACGACTATTAGATACCCTGTGCCCAGTGTTAAAAAGCTTTTACAGCTTTTTTTTTATAGACAGAACAAATATTTCAATTTATATTAGTACAAACATTCTTATGTCTAGACATTTCCAATTGCCAGAGGTTCCTCTTATCGTAAAAACTAAAACCCCATTTTCTGATTGGGCACGAGCCTTACGAACGATACACCCCGTTCTCTTTGTGTCTAGATTATAATGTAACAAATATAGCCCCTTTTTCTTGGTGTCTACAGTATTAATGTAACAAATATAGCCCGTTTCCTTTATATATAGAGTATTAAAACTAATGATAAACAAAGGTTTCGCTAGTTTAGTTAGTTGCTTCATTGGTTTCATTGCCAGTTTTAATTCAATTTATTAACTCGATAAACTCAACTTTCATTTCAAAGTAGAATAAATACCTTCCCACCCCCACCCTCTCCCTCTCTCTCTCTGCCATCACCACTTCCCGCCCGATACGAACTTGTGCGCAGCGCGTTTGGCATATAGACGAAAAATAAAAATAAATAGTTGGTCAATAGTTGTGTATATCTGAAACAAAGTTGTTAACTGAAAAGTATTCGTAAGTAAAAACACGTTAAAAGCAGCAAAAGTTTTTGTATCCTTAAGTAAATGGTAACTAGGAAAAACTACATATACAAAATCAAAAACAAAACAATTTTCATAATAACAATAAAAGGAATGCATTAGCATTATTCTCACTTTGTTAGCGTGCGCCAAAGTTCAAGAGAAAGGACTAGAGGGCGCAAATAATTGTTGTATAGCAAATAAACTAGACCTTAAACAATAAACATTAAAATACAATTTAAAAACGTAAAAGAAAAAAAAAACAAAACAAACAAAAAAGAAATGTTACTTAAGTGCAAAACGAGCTTGTTGTCAAATTAATTTTACATTTAGCTAAAACATAAGTTAAAATTAAACAAACGGCAAGGAGAAACTGTTCAATTTGTGCAATTGTCAATGTGTAAATGCGTACTATAACTGTGCTTTAGTACATGCCATGCATATACGATTTTTGTTAGCTATCGAGATATATACATATATATTATTTCGATCTGGCTCTTAGCTATGCAAACTTGAGGCAACTTCAATTGAATGTATTAGTTTTGTATTTATATGCGTGTAGGTGTATGTGCTTGTGTGTGTGTGTGTGTGTGTGTGTGTAACTATTCTGTTGCCAATTTCAATAAACTTTAGCTTGAAGCACATATAAATATATATATATATGTATATATATATATATATATATATTCTATCGGTTTCAGCCGCAAAAGCAACTCAAAGCTCAATTCCAGGCACAGTATGCAGTCGACACTTTTGCTTTGCTCTTTCTTCCGGTCCTGCGGCCAGCCTAACTAATAAAAGAAGTTAAAGAAAGCATAGTCAAAGGATTACTAAATCGTTGTGCGGAATGGGAAACGGTCCCAAGCTAAACTAAAGATCGTCAATGGTAGCAGAAACAGAGAAAACAGCCCGAATTTTTGTGTAAGATTGTGCCTAATCGAAAGTGAGAATTATAAAAAAAAAAAAAAAAAACAAAACAAAACAAATTAATTATAATAGAGATTGTGTATATCTAAGGCAGCTAATAGAGCTGCTTAATTAAATTAAATAAAAACTAAAAATCGATGTCAATAACGTTAACTGCTAGCAACTGTATTTAAAATAAAACAAATTCATTTTTTGCAATACACAGTTCATAGTAAAAAAAAATAAAAGAAAAAGAAAAGCAAAGAATATAAAAATCGTCAATGAAAAGCTTTAAATTAAATCAATTTAGAAAGACGACCCAAATGTAATAAAAAGGTTAAGTTAAATGCGTTGCAAGTGCAGCAAAATGCTAAAATGAATAACAAATTAAACAATCAAACACACACACACAGACACGCACACGCACGCACACACATTTACAGCCTAGTTAACTGCAGGTTACATATGTAAAATTTGCATTTTTGGCAGGTGCATTGCGCAATCCATTTCACTTTCGGCAGGATGCGAACTAAAACTACACGCACACATGCACAAACAAAGCCTAAAGCATGTAATAAATATGCACACACACACACACACACACACATGCCAAGACATCTTTGTAAACTCCCACACACACACACACACATAGCTAGAAAACAAAGGATAAACTGCATTAAGCCTTAGCTCAAGGCAAACACAAATCTGAATGAAATGTTAAAATGAAATGGAATTTCGCAAAAACAAAAGTACTTTGTAATTGCATTTAACATAAGTAAATTGAATATATAACTAAAATAATACATAAAAGCGAGGCAAAACAAAACTTAATAACATTTAAGCTGAATTATTATACAATACAAAGAGTAAAACAAAAACACAAACAAACAAAACAACTTGCTAATCATTTCATCAATGCATCAAGCAATTCAGAAATACAGCCAACGGCATTCGGTGTTGAGGCTTGAAATTGTTTTCCAATATTTAAAGAAGCTCTTGAACGCTTGAGTAGCCTTTGAAAGTGTCACAAACTTTGTTCGGCCAATTATTTACAAAGTACACACCCACACACACACACAAGGATCATGGCAAAAATGTAAATAGCGATACTTAAGTGTAATAAAACAATAATGAAATGATGCTTGATCCAAAAGTTGACGACTTGCATTAAATTAGTTTATACAAGTGTACATACATACGATGATGGCCATGTATGTGCATATATCTGATTAACAAATATAAATAGAAAATCTAATAACTAAATGTGTGCAAGAATTCAAACTTAATTGTTAATTGTTGCTCGAAATCAAAATGGTAAATCAAACATTTGAACGCATTCAGCGTTTTATTCATCAAACAAAAATGTTGAACTCAACTAACAAGCAGTAAATATAATATTTAATTTAAATAATAAACAAACAAAAATGCAAATCAAATTGTGTCACCTGTTTAGTATATCAGTATTTGTAACTGAATGGTATTGAAGTGCGAAACAAAAAATATATGAAAACAACTTGAACAAACATGAAAACAATGAAAATAAATGGAATTTTTAAATGGAAATGGCATATTTCTTTTCAATGGAACAAACGCGTAAGTATGACGCGCTGATCGATCAAAAGCAGTTCCTTTTTAATTTTACTTGAATTCAACTCTCTCAACTCGTTTATTTTTTAAATTGCACTTTAAATTTGCCGCAACATTTGGGTGTTGCCACATTAGTCGATTTCTAACAGTATTCTTACAACTTAACATTTTCACTCCTCACTTACTCCTCACGTAGCCATATAAGAGTACGTCTAACAGTTTGCGCTCGCTAAATGTATGTTAAATGGCCTACCCATAGAAATCATTTAACATTAGTGATGAGCTATAGAATAACATTGAGCACTGAGCTCCGTTAAGACTCTCTTATCAGTTAGTAGGAGATGCTCTCACTGTTAATAACAGTCAGCTAGCCATTATCGCAACAGAGTGACAAGGTAGCGCACAATGTTATACTTAGAGAGAGAACCAGATGAACAACGGTCAGGGCCTTAGTTTAGTTCAGTGAATCGTTCGATCGAACTTATTCCGAACGAGTCGACACAATGCTAACAGAAAACCTGTTGCGCAGAAAATGGGGAAACGAACACAATTAATTAGCAATTAACGGCTGTAAATAAACTGCAATACGCTAGAAAAACAAAAGCATTCGAAACGTTAAAACCAAACTAAACTAAATAAACATTCGACTAACGACAACGCAGCCAGCCACAGCCGCCGCAGTAACAGAAACAGAAGCAGATCAGCAAAACAACAAGCAAGTCGCAAGCGCACGGCTCAATGAAAAGAAACGAAGAAAAACAGTTTATTTTTGTGTTTAGCTGCCTGCCATACCCCGCCAGCGTTTGTCGCGTGTGCCAACGTGATTGTGTGCGTGCGTGTCTGTGTGTATATGAAAATATTTAAAAACAAAATCTTCTGCGCAGACGGTCAACGCACAGGGAGCACAGGGGCTGGCCAGGGCGCACAGGGGTCGCAGACAGTGCACAGAGCGACAATCAAAAAAGCAACAACAGCAGCAGACAGATAAACAACATCAGCAGCAGCAGCAGCAGCGGCGGAGGCAGCGGCAGCGACGTCGTGCTCGGTGACGCGTCGCGAGGTGCTCGAGGTCAGTTCAGCACATTTCGCGCACGGCCGTTTTAGACATCTCCACAACAGCCCACCCCAGCTCACCTCTATCCCCGCAGCAGAACGGCCACCCGCAAACGCACGCGCGGCGACGTTTCAATTCCGAGTCAACAGAAAAAAAAGTCAGCAACAAAAACAATAGCAACAACAATAAACACCGAAAAAAGAATAAGTTAACGAGAGACTCACGCGCAACTCTTTTATTGTTTAACTGATAACCTGTGCGCGGCTGATAAATATCAAGTGAAAAGTTGAAGCATATTATTGCAATTGCCCAAGTGCCAAGTGCGAATGCGAATGCGCCCTCAATTTGTATGCCAACCGCACACACATTCGTATACGACACACAACACACACACAACCACACATACGCATACGCATTCCCGCTCCCATTCCCCCCATCCGACGACCACTGACGTCAGTCGGCTGGATCGTTATCGTTATCCGAAAATGGTGATACCGGGGCCGGAGCCCATCACGGGCGCCATAGCCACAGCCGGATTTAACCGTACACCGTTAACGGAGCTAAGCGGCGAGACACGCCGTCAGCTGGCATGCATGCTGAATCGCAAGAAGGTGCTGCGCTCCGAGGAGGGCTACGAGCGAGACTGGCGCGGCATTGCCTCGCTGTCGGGCCAGCGTGGCTATGTGGATGAGTTTGCCAATATGCCCATGGACCTGGTGTTGAACAGCTGGATCAAGCATAATCCACAGACAGCCGAGGTGGGGCATCTGGAGCAGTTTCTGGGCATCATCGATCGCTGGGATGTGCGCGACGATATCCAGGAGAATCTGAGTACGTACACCCCTAATGAGAGACAGCGAGACAGGAGAGTGTAAACCCATTTTCATTTCGATTCCAGCCAAGGACACAAATCGCTACAATATCAAGCAACAGCAGCTGGAGCAATTGGCGATCTCGTCGCGCGACAGTCCCACGCCCACGGTCAAGTGCTTGGAGCGTAACAACAACAATAGCCTGGCCCGCGATGTCAACCTGCTCAGCATTGACGATGAGAAGTGCCTGCAGAATGGCCAGCCGCTGCCCAGATACAATGCCTGTGTGCTGTACGCCGAGGCGGACATTGAACATGCGACAGACATCATGAATAATCTAGAGTCTCCGCCCTATAATCTCAAGGTAAACTATTCCAAAATCTGTGCTATAAATACATAATATAACCCAATACACTGGCAGCTGTTCTTGAGACATCGGGATCTGCTGCTGGGCGTGCCGTTCGAGCATGTCGAGCTGTCACAGTTTATGGCCACGCGCTGCAATCATTTGATAGTCGTTCTCACGGATGAGTTTCTCAAGAGTCGCGAGAACACGTATCTGGTCAACTTTACGCAAAAGCTGCAAATCGGTAGGTACCACAAAGTCCCGACTGCTTAATATTGATGTGTTAATCGAATCGAATTGAATTCTTGTAGAGAACAACACACGCAAGATAATACCCATATTGTACAAACACAACATGATTATACCCCAGACGCTGGCCATATACACGCACGTCAACTACACGGACACCTCCAGCCTGTTCAATTTCTGGGACAAGCTTGCCCGTTCGCTGCAGGATGTGGACACTGCGTCCATATACAGCGCCAGCCAGCAGCTGCACACGTAAGCGGAACAACAACTGGAGCAACTGCAGCCATGATCAAATACTCTTTATATTTTGCACAGACCCACAGCACCAGAAGCGAGTGCTGCTCAGCCGGAAACGCCGCGTATACTTATCAACGATGCGGACGTGACGGACCTATCCGATTGGAATTTAAGCGAGACAAAGCTCAAGTCAATGTCGGGCAACACATCGGCGCCGTTGCCCGAACTAAAAGTCAAGCGCAAGGATAAACTGCTGCAGAAGCTAACGCTCAATTTTAGTACCTCGCCGCGCAACGGCAGCACAAACGGCAAACCGCTCAGACATGCGCATTCGGTCAGCGCGATCAACATGCAGGAGCAACAGAGCACGCTCAATGCCAGCAACTCCAATCTATCAACGTATTCGGAGAACAAGAAGAGATCCAACAAGTGGAGCAGCAAGCTGCTGAAGAAGTTTACGCGCAGCAGCACCAAACTGCAGACGCCGTGCTGATTGCCAGGCAGGCGGCAGTAAAGTAGCAGGCAGCTAGCTTGCAACACGTGGCATGCTGCCTGTGTGTATGTGAATTTCCTTAAATTGCGCCCAGTTAAGTGGCATATCAATCCATTAACCAGTCACCCGGTCACCGATACCGACAACGACACCAACCACCCTCCATTTGATAGTGATTTTTTGTTCGTAATCTTTAGCCTAAACCTAAAACAAAGCCAACTAACTTAAATGTATTTAGACGCACTTGTTAAACTATGTAAGTCAACAACGAATAAAGACAATATATATATATGTATACATAAACGCACACGAACACGCACGCACACATGTAAAGACAATAATCTAAACTAGTTATAAAGAAAAAAAAAAAGAAAATATTAAAAACCATATGTACACACAGAAAAAAAAGTGCCTGGAAAACGAAAACAGAAACACACAAAAACAAACTTTCAAACGAATTGCCAATTGTAAGGTTAATCGAAGCACACACAATTAGCTGTTAGTCACGAGTCTGATAAGTGACTTACTTAATTCAATTAACTTAACAAACAAACGCCCAGCCTTATACAGATACACACTGTCAACCCCCCCCCTAACCGCCCAGTCTGTTTGCATTCTCGAGTCGTAATCGTGTGTCTCGACAGTCTAGAAAAAAAAACTAAAATGATGATGATGAATAACTTGTGCGCGTTAGATATAGTGTGCGAATTTGATGAATAATGTATATATCTTTACTATATACGACATATATATATATATTAGTGTGTAAAGTATATGACAGCTGTGTGTGTGTGTGTGTGTCTGATAAAGCCGCAGCTTTCGTCACATTTTTTTAAGTAATTGTCGTCGCAAATTGGAGCTGAGCACACAACCAGACAGTTAGTACATATGCCTATTTATAAGTCACGCGCTTCTATATAATAACCTGTACTTGCACAACTGGGCTGATATATAATTTTTGAATAGAAACAAAACAAAAAAAAGTCGCGTGCTCTGGCATACGCCGTACTTAAACTTAAATTCTATGAATGAGCTAATGTGTGTGTGTGTTCGCCTCGAAATCGGGCAATAAACATTTAAATAATATGCATATATATATATACTATATAACGTTTATATATGTACGCTCAATCTGTGTAGTTAACGTTAAATGCAAAACGCAAGTTTTTATGTTTTTTTTTGCTGTTTCTTTGTGCAACAATTAACTTGAACTCGAACTCGTGTCAGTGTGAAATTCACTTTGAGTTCATTTCCGTTCGGGCGTTGCAATAAATTAATTCAAATTTGTTTAAATTTTTTTTTGTATTTATTTTTCATTTTATTGTTTAAATCGCTTCATAAATAACCGTTTTGTTTTTGGTTTTTTGTTTACTTTTGTTCATGTTTCTTGTTGTAATCGAATTTTGTTATTGTTTTTTTGTTTTTACCCATGGTGAATGTTTACTTTAGTCCAATTTTTGTTTTTGTTTTTTTTATGAATGTTTATTTTGTTAGTTAATTTGTTATGTATTTTTTGACTTTTGCATGTTTCAAATGTGTTAACCATGCCTTACATGTGTGTGTGTGTGTGTGTGTGTGTGTGTGTGTGTGTGTGTGTTTGTTTTATAATCATTATAATAGCTCCTTTTACGCGTTTGTGTGTTTGTTGTTTCATTAATTTATTATTTTTAAATTGTATTTTGTATGTTTTACATTTAAGTTTTGAACAAATGTTTGTTGTTTGTTCTCACAACTTGAGCTTGTTCTTTATTAAACTTTGTTTTGTTTTCATTTTAATTGAATTGTTTTTTTGTTTTGTTTTTGTTTTCTGTTCTTCATTTGTTGTATGTGTATATGTATATTTTGTTGTTTATTTATTAAGTTTTATTTGCATTTTTAACAAAATTAATAAAAAACAATTCATTATTTGGTTTTCTTTGCTTTCACTTATTTTGTTTTCATTTTCTTTTTGTGTTTTTTTTTTGTTTTTTTTTTTTTTTTGGTTTTTTGTATATATTTTAATTGATCAATTTATTCGTAATTTGTAATATTAAAACAATGTAACGCATAATCCTGCTCTTGTCCACTTTTCCACAACTTTTCCAGCATTTTCCACAACTTGTTGACTTTTCCAATAGCCCAACAGCTTTTTTAGCTTAACTAATGCAAATGATTTTCTTTTCCTTTCTTTTGGGAGGGGTTGCTTATATCATTTGTTTTTTTTTTTTTTGTTTTCTTTTTTTTTTTTTGGTTTTATCTTATAAGTCTAACTGATTGCATTTATACAGAGTGTTACGTGTTAAAGTTTAGTCGGGCCTCTGCCACGGATTGGAAATGAGGACCGTCTCGAACCTAGGTAAAAGTCGGGTACACACAATATCTTCCATAATAAAAAAAAAAAAACTCAAACTGGTTTTTGTGTTTTTGTTTTGTTAAGCGCAATTCTTTATAGTTAAATGTTAACAATGATTATGATTCTGGAAGTCAGCTGAAGAAGTCAGTTTTCAGTTTTCAGTATGGAAATTTTTAAGTTTTGTATGTTATAAACTGCGACTTGCTCTTATTATAATGTAATGCATTGTATTTTGAGTATGTATAGGTATTTTTTATTTATTCTTTTAATTTGTTTATAATATGTATTTATAATTGTGCACTACAGCACTTGACTTCTTCTTCTTCCGCTCCGCTTTCTATTTAATCATGACTCTCTTATATCATATATCATTCTTGTTGCACGTTTTGCTCTTTATTTATTTCATTCTTTTTCTGCTGTCGTTTGACTTACTTTAACTTACTAATAAATTAAAACAACGCTAATGAATTCGTTTGTTCATTGGTTTTCTTCTTTTTTTTTTACTAATTGTGATTTGGTTTTGTTTTTGTTTTTGTTTTCATTTATTTCTCTGCTATAACTCTTTGTATTTTATTATCATTTGTAATCAATTATCGATTTGATTTCCATTTATTTGTGCCTTGGACAAACGCTTGCGCTCAAAAATTTGTTGTTTAGCATTAATCTGTTCTGTCCCAATGCGTGTCGAGGTAGGGAATTTGGGCAGGGGGAAAAAATTCATTTAACTCCGCAAGCGCAATCAGACGACGGGGCAACGGGGCGAGCCAACTGATTGGACGGAGCTAAGCAGCTGATAAGCCGAACGGAAATACCCTATCTATAGCTATTTTCATAGTTGATTGAAAGCTGGTTGGGGTTCGAGCAGAGATACCTCATATATATATATATATATATATATATGCGCTTATCGGGCCACTTGACATACATGTACATATAAATATGGTCAGAGTTGGGAGCTGCGCCGAAGAATTTGTACAATTTTGTATTTATGCATTTTTATACAACAACATTCAAAGGGGTTCTCCTATCTTGTCGTATCTTGTCTCTGTGTGCTTCAAGGAATTGCAATCCAAACGAATTAGGGCGATTTTTCATTATTGTTTAACAATTTAACATAAGAAATGCAAATTTGTTACAAGTTTTTCTTCTTTTTTGTTTTGTTTTTGTTTTTTTCATTTTTGGCAGTGTTTCATTTGTATGTAATATGTCAATGTTAGTTTGGCTTTTAGACATACTTTATAAACTCTAATTACATCGCTCTGATATTAAAAGAGGAACATAAAAGGTAGGGTATAGTGGTGTGCGGTGTGTGTGTGTGTGTGTGGTGTGTGTCTGTTCATTGCTATAAAATGTTTGTTGATTTCTTTAGGTTTTCTGCCTCATCATCTTCTTCTTGTTTTAGTTACTACAATGTTAGTATAACTACAGTTAATTACGTAATCATCATTAAGCCAGACGATCATTGTTTCGAATTTTCATTTATCATCATTTTCAACATTTCCATGTTCATTTTGAAGCATGTTTAATGCCAAAGTGTTACCCATTTTGGCTGGGCTGTATGCGACATTTTTGTTAACGTTGTACAACACTACAAATAACGGCAGTTTTTTGAAATGCTGATTCGAGAGGGAAAGTTTAATCTTGTGTTTTTCATTCTTCTTCTTTTTTTTTATCCTTATTCTTGTTTATACCTATAATAGCCTAATAGAATGTTAGGAAACAACATATATGGAAGCCATCGAAAGCAACTGCAAGTAAATTGGGTTCGTTTTTCAATAGAGAATATACCAATGTGCTCTTCAAGGAATACAACTGAGGAACTACACAAAAGTATACATATTGTGATATATATACATGCATTGAATTTGGCCTCTACTATAGTGAGATATAAGTACAGTGAAAGCTCTCTACGAACTCGAGTTGTTCGTTCAAAAGATATGTTGAGGAAATAACAGTAAAAACATATTTGTCTAAACAATCAACTAGAATTATATATATATATATATTCCTTTGATTATTATTTTCACAAAAATAAATGGCAAAAAGTCTATAGATTTTTCAGTATAAAAGAAAAGTTGCATTTGCCGCAGCTTCAGCTTCGGCTATTGTACAAAACAAAAGGTTGTAAAATTCGTTAGTTGGAGCATTCACTGTACCTCATCCAGTGCTAAACAGATGTTTAGTTAGTTAACAATCGGAGCATTTAGTTGCCCGTTTTTTGACAGCTGAGAAATGGTTTGTTTTAGGGGCTTTTTGTGTGTGTGTGTTTTTACAACTAAATAAGGCATGCGCTAGGCTGAATAAACGCTAACAACAATCATAATAAATATGGCCATAATATAAGTAATAATAATAATAATAAAAAATCAATAACAGAAATACCTTTTTTGGTTATTTATGTGCATTGTATCGGTTCGTTTATCGAATCGCTAACAACTTGTTGTTTTCCCGGCCAAATGACAAATTCGCTAAATGCTACGAAAAACGTTTCGTTCCTATTGGCATCTGAATTTGTTATTCTCGCATATCCTTGTCATCCTTTAAGTTAATTTCTGTTCTCTTTTCGTGTGTTTGTGTTATGTTCTGTTCTGTTATCCACTTTGTTTTGCTTACTTCACTATTGTACAATGTGCGGTTGCCGTTATTTTTCTTTTCTTCTCTTTTTTTTTTTGTTTTTACTTAATTCTTTTATAATTCATAATAGGTTTTCTTTTATATGTGTGTGTGTTTGTTTGTGTGTGGCGTTTGGGGCGTGGCCGCGTTGCCGCTGCGCGCGTGTCCTGTCTAAAAATGCGCTAATTATTGATACCATTTTTATGATCGATTCTCCCATTTGGAAATTTGTTAATTAATGTTTGTTTAGTTTGTTTTTCTTTTAAATTCTATCCTCTTCGTCCTCCTCCTCCTCCTCGACCTCCTCACCGTTCTCCTCGAGCTCCTCCTTGTAGCCAGGATGCTCGGATATGGCATAGTAGTTGCCATTGTAGATGACGCCCAGTTCGCGCAACGCATCGCCGCGTATTGTCGCCTTTATCGTCCAGTTATAACAATCATCCGACTCGGACTCGCGATCCAGACGCTCAACGTCCAGGATCTTGGAATTGAGGCGCTCCAGTATAATGCCGATATCCTTGATGCTAAGATGGCGCTTCTGGTCGACAGACAGCTGATCGATGAGCAACAGAAACTTCTCCGTCGTCGTCTTATCATCCTCCATCACCGTGTTCTCCGTTTCGCTCTCCGAGCTGTCGCGCTCCGGTGCAATGTCCAGGAAGCGCACATGACCCTTGGCGCCCGACGAGCGACGCTGCATGCTGCCGCTGCCGCTGCCGCCTAGCATAGGATCCATAACCGATGAGGACATCGCCAGCGTCGCCTGATGCGCCTGCAGCTGCTGCTGCTGCTGCTGATGCTGCAGCTGCGGCTGCGGACTGCTGCTGCCGTCCTGTATGGGCGAGGTGGCCACGCTCTTGTGCACGGCTATCTTGCGGCCCTCCTCGTGCAGCGCACAGCAATGGAAGTCGCACTCCGTGGTGCTGGGGCTGCCCGCCCGGCTGGGCGTGTGCGCATGATGGGCACACTCGGGCGTATGCACATGTACTGCGTTTACGGCGCTATCAAAGGAGCCGCCCTGTTTGGAGAGTCGGCGATTGCTGCCGGGTATCACAACGCCTGGCGGCAGGACAACGCCGCCCGGATGGTAAATGCTCGCCGGGCCCTCGTCGCTAATGACCGTTATTTGTGGGCTGGCATAGCGCGGCTGTGAGGATTGCGAGGACACCGATTTGTTATCCAGCGAACTTTGCGCAGAGAGGCCCTTCTTCGAGGGCGAGTACTTGTCCGATGACAGCAGTCCATTGCTGCTGCCCAGGCCGGCGCCCATGCACATGCCGCCGCCGCCGCCTCCTCCACCAGCACCACCACCACCTCCTCCTCCGCCGCCGCCGCCTCCACCGCCACCCTGGCGCTGATCCCAGTGCAATACGACCGTGACACGCCCTTTATTATCCATAATCTTCCAAGATGGTGTCTCATCGTGCAGTTCCAGTGCATGGATCGTCTCACAGACGATTTTCGGTATAGCTGATATAGCTGCAAATTAAATGTGAGCATGTGGACGGGAGTCTGATAGAGATCAGCTACTTACCAGCCTTTATGACATCCACACCGGTTGGATACCATCGCTCGCCCTGCCTCAACAGCAAGAGTACCGTATTGTTGGCCAGGGTGCGAAAGTATTCGCCATCCTCAATTTGGGTTCCATCACACTCCAGAACAACGCGCACGGGTTCTGAAGCAGGAACCCCCAATTTGTCCTTGCCGCGCACCAATAGCTCCTCAAATGTACCAACTACGACGCCTTTGCGCACATTCCGCCAACTATCCCAAATTTTCAGTGGTCGCTTGCCGCGAGACTCCTGCAAGTGCAAGACAAAAGTAATCAAAGTCAGTGTTGGATAATGCCATACAGTTAGAACTAGCTTGAGCTAGTTTGGAAATACATTAAAGGTATCTTTAAAGATAGTTCCGGTTAAGAGAAACCTGACAGATCTGATGTACGAAATATTAGCATCAATCGATATTCCTTTGAAAACTATACGATATAGTAGGCCCTTGTTGATGAGCTTTTGCATTATGTAGAAGCACAAAAAGACTCGGATTTTCGTGTTTGCTCGAAAAAAAAAACATTTTCCACACTTATTTCTTATAAAGAATTTAAGGTAAAATATTTCGATTCTCATCAGATATTAAACTCTTGATAGAAGCACACTTAAGCCATAAATAAAAGCTAGTTAAGCTCGGGTCAGCTTCTTAATAGATACGTGTCTAAAAAAAAACCTGACCTGAGATAACATAAAGCAACTCAATAAATCTTCATTTATCACAGCCCGATCTTAAGTAAAGTCTGTCAAGCAATACGCAAATAAATTAAATTCAATCTAAAATAATATATGTATAAATCGCCTGACTATAACGATTAACAAAAAACATAAACAAGATGCAAAGAAATTAAGAATTTGACCTTGATAACAAATCTGTTTTAAACTAAGTTAATATGGCATATTAATATTCAACTTAAATCTGTACTAAATCATGCTCCTCAAGTTTTATCATAGCGAGAGTTTACTGTAATAGGCACGCCGTTTAATAAATATAAATAAAGACATATATATATATATTTATATACATATGTATGTGCGACATGTGCACACATATGCCAGTTTTTGGGCGTGGGTGTGACACCTGTGTGTGTGTGTGTGTGTGTGTATGTGTGGGTGTGTATGACTGGTGGGTGTGGCAGGCCCGGGCAGCGTCATAAGTTACGCTACTAATTGAGGTTTGTAGTCGCTAAAAAAGGGCGCAAGTGTCAAGGCCGCTGCCAGCTACAGTTCAAGCAACTGCTGCAGCTGATATGCCAGTCGATCTGCACGGGATTAGCGCACACAATTACATACATACATACATACATACACATACACACACACACACACACACACACAAATCAGAAACGGTAAACGCAACAACAGTTTACATTAACCAAAGCGAAATTTTGAGATTTTCATTACATATTAACAGCGGTCACAGCTGTTGTGCACTAACAGCGCTCTGTTAGCTTAACAGAGCTTTCACTGAAAGCAACATCAACAACAACAACAAGCAGCAGCAGAAAGCATGTTTAATGTATTGCAAGGACATGAGTGTGGCGCTCCAGTGACCCAGTAACGAGTGCAGCACACGAGCTGAATAACAACAAAAAAATATGAAGAGACACACACACACACACCAATACATAGTTATGTGTAGATGTAGATGTATGCACCCAAGCCCGAGTTGAAAAACTATGAAAAATTACATGAAATACATTTTGACATTTGCTTATTGGACATTTGCGCGAAAAGTTGCTTTTGTCAAATTGGAGTTGGCAGTCGAGCTGCAATTGCAATTGCAGTTTGTAGAGAAGTGTAATCAGTATTACACACACACACACAAGCACACAACAGGCTGCGAGAGCGAGAGAGGCAGAGTCTTGTGCTTGTATGTGTGCTGCATGCGCGCATTGGGATAGGTCAAGTCTGCTGCCATATGGCCATCAGCTGCTGCCGCTGCCGCTGCCGCTGCTGCTGCTGCTGCTTTTGCAGCAAAGGGGCGTGTATGTATTTTGAAAGGAGCAGTTAGAAGTGAAGAGGGGGAGGGTGCTGTTGCTCATTGATAGATATGTATGTATGTATGTAACGGTAATTAGTTATTATCATTGTTTTACCCCAGTTGGTGCATTTGTCGCAGCCGTCGGTCCCGTCGTTATGGCTGCGCCAGCATTTTGGTTGGCTGCCGCAGCAGCAGCGGCTGCTGCCGCCACTTGTCTGATGCTCAGGCAGTTGCACAGTGGCTTTGTCACGCCCAGTGTGCACAGAGCATTGGACCACATGGTGGTGGTGTTGCAACTGCTCGTTTCACCTTTCCCGGCCACTTTAAGGCGATTCTGATTAGGCGTTCTTCCAATTAGATGCAATTCGTTTAGTTGACAGCAACAACAGCGTAGACAATAACATTAACAACACGGCGCACATAAAATTAACATTTTTATGTTATATGTTATGTTATTATGTTAAATATTTGTTTGATTTTTAGGTTTTCCTCATAAAAACTGTTATATAAAATGCACACACGCACTGTGTTTCTTCTTATTGGTTTTTAGTTTCTTTTTCGCATATAGAAAATTATGTTTATAAAACCCTATAAATGCTTATAATGCTCCAAGCTTAAATCTAAGTTAAACGCTTTTTATTGTAGTTGTTTAAATGCCATTTGGAAAATTCGTTCGCGTAAGGCTACAAAAATGTTAACAAATTGCTGCGCACTTACAAAAAACAAAGCAAAAGACAAGAAAACACAAACACAAAATTGTGTAGTCAATAATAATAGAAAAAACACCGAGTATTAATTATTATCTTCGATAAGAAATTGGCTTTTCGACAGGTCCTATTTCTTTTTTTTTTTTTTATTTTGTTGGAACTTCTTTCTTGATTCCTTTTTTGGGCCACAGCAGCAGCAGCTGGCCTGGGCTGGGCAGGCGCCAGAGTTGTCAAGAGTTGACCTTCGCACTTTCACTTTACTACACTTGCGTGTGCCTGAAACCGCCGAGTTTTCATTTGGTGGGAGTGGGGGTTGGGGCAACTGGGGCTGAGGTTGAGCCTGAGCCAGAGGCTGGGGCCAGGTGCTCTGAGCCTGCGTTCGATTTCAGTTTGTGTGGCACAGTTTTCGTTTTCTTTTTTTTTAGCACATTTAACACAAGCTTTGGACTGTTGAAATTTGTACAAAAATGATTTATAGCTGCTGCTGCTGCTGCTGCTGCTGCTGTTGCAGTTGTCACGCCCAGTTAAAAATTTAATATTTTAACAATGTGCCAGCGGAATCGCGTAGCTTGTGTAAAGCGCTCGTTAACGAAAGTAGCATCCTTGCTGGCTGTGGCTGGCTGCCTGGCACACACTGGCTGCCTGCCTGCTCCTGTCTCCCGTTAACAGACTCTGTTAAGCGCTGCTGCTGCAGCTGCAGAATGCAATGCTAAAGAGAGCAATGCTAAAGAGAGCGAAAGTTGCGAGTAAAGCTCGTGAGCGCATTTGCTATGCATGCATGTGTGCGTGTGTGTGTGTGTGTGTCACTCTGTTATTGCGTATTTTGTAGTAAATTAAATGTTAACGCGTAAGCTACTCGACTGCACTTTGCATTGCAACGCTCTCACTTCTTGCTGCACACACACACACACACACATGCACACTCACACGCACTCTCTTTGCCAGTAACATCTGTGCTTTGGCCTACATTTGGAATGTGATATAATCAGGGCGCACTAAAGCTAACAGCTAACAAAACGGGCGGGCGCACACACGAATGCTCCACAAGTATTCAGGATTCACAGTGGCTCACAGCTAAACAGCGCCCGACTCCAGCCGCCACACAAATGCCAGAAGCTCTGTCAATTAGGCACACACACACACACACACACACACAGTCAGTCAGTCACACTCACACACAGGTGCACAGTTAGGCATAGAGAGTGGGGACGCTGAAAAGTTGCACAAGGTTGCAATTGGCTCGCTTTCATTTTCATTTGGTTCGCTCCGCTTTGCAGCAGTTGATTTGAGCATAGCAGCGCATTGGGTAAACATTTATTTTGAATCAATCCTTTGAATTAGGTTTATCTATTTGTAAATCGACAGCAGGACACAGTCAACATTCTGAGCGCCTAATTACGTTTGCATATTAAAAGCGCTAAAAAGTATGCTATAGGCATACAATAAAAGCAACTTTTGCTACTATATTTGCTGTACATAATAAAACTACTCCTATTTCTACTCCAAATTATCTTCAAAAAGTGTTTATCTTGTCATAATTTAAATACTGCTACAATTGGCATATTTTTTTTAAATCGAAGCGCCAGTGTTGCTGCTGTGTCGAGAGCAGCGACATATTGCAATTTCATGTGCAGCAGCTCTCTCCCTCTCTGTCTCTGGCTCTCTGTACAGCATTGCCAGTTGTAAGAAAATATAACATTTTAACCCAAAATGTTAACAGCGCCTTTAAGCTATGTTTTGGAATGCTTGCAAAAATACAACAAAATATACTATATTTGCTTCTTGCAAAGTGCTAGTAAATAAAAGAAATTCGTGCTTAAATGTCTAATGATTTGTATGCCTAATATAAATCCACTGCAATTGCAACTGGATTTAAGAGCGATGCAATCAATATGTAGGTCATGTGCGAGTGCTGCTTAGCCGCCCGCCCACAAGCTTAATGCAGACTGATATGGGAGTGTCATTAAGTGCAACTCGTTGCATTCAAACAAATATGCACAAATATGTGTGTGATTGTATGTTTGCGTTGGACTGTTACTATAATTTTGGGTAATCGCTGGGAAACAAAAAAAAAAAATAATAAAAACAAACCCGCAGACCACATGTACATAAACAACAACAAATAATATGTAAAGTAAATGTACGAATCGCAGGGCATCAACAAAAGCTACATGTGCACATTCAGTAGGGTGTATTACCATAGTTATTTGGGTCAAAGCTATTCACTCAGCCGCAAAGCAAAACGAAACGAAATGAAGAAACTGCATAAAGCGTGCACACATACACATACTGACATACGCATACACACACACACACATATATACGCACATAAAATGCTTAACGGGGGCTTAGACCCAAAGCCAACGCAGCTCAGCGACTAAGTTGAAAACAAATGAGCGGAGAGTAAAGACAGGCCGGAATTGAGAAACAACTGTAAATCGAAACGATAGGTGGAGAGTGGAGAGAAATGTTACTGCTACTGTTACAGTTTTATGTTAGAAGTAACGGCCAAAAACAGTGTGTATATGTGTATAATATTTTAATTCACAAGCAATGCATAACTATGTATGTTTGTTAGTGTGTGTCTATGTGTGTGTGGGCACCCCCGCACTTTTCGCCTTACGACATTTCGCTTAGCCCGCAAGAAATCTCACTTACCTCTCTGGCCATTACGACATGTCTCAAAAGCAGGGCCCGCTTAGAGGGTCTGCCATTTGCGTTGGCTTCAACGGCAACAACAACACGTCCTCTGCCTCTGCCTCTGCCTCTGCGTCGACGCTGTCGTTGTCGACGTGGTCGTTGGCGTTGTCGCTGTCGTCGTCGTCGTCGCCGTCGCGTCTGTCGTCCTTTGGCGGCGGCGGCTAACAGGAACAGCAACACCAACAACAACACCAACTGTGCACGGCTTACACTTTTCGCGCATACGAGTCTCTGTTTGTATGTATGTCTGCGTAAGTGTGTGAGTGTTTGTCTGTATGTATGTCCGCACAGCGTTGGCGTTGGCGGGTGGCGGTGAGCGGGCACTCGCTGGGGAGAACGGCGGCAGTGGGCGGTTGTTGGTTTGTGGGTGTGTGTGTGTGTGTGTGGAGTGTGCTTCAAAAATTCTCTACTACACGTTTATTTTCAATCTTTCCGCAACGCGCCGATGCTGTGTGCTGTGTGCTGCTGCTTCTTCCTTTTAACGTTCCTTTTTGGCACCGTGCTCTCTCTCTCTCACTCTTTGGCTCTCTATGCCTTTTTTGTGGTGTATGTGTATGTAGGTGTGCGCGTGTGTGTGTACATACGTACATATGTTGGTGGTGGTGCTGCTGCTGCTCCTGCTGAGTGTGTATTGGTATTTGCCTTGTACAATTTGATTATTTATTTAAACAATTCTTTATTTAATTGCTTTGCTATAGCACGAATGCTGCCACTTATCACTTTTATTATAATTTTTGCTTTTTACTACGTACACCTACACCCACTATAATACACACACACACATATCGACATATATGTACGTAGGTGCGGCTGCGATGTCGGCGAAGGTTTGCTGTTGGCAGTGTTTGTGTGCGTGTGTGTGTACCGTTATCATTTTATTCATATTGAACACATTTTTGAATCCGATCTGCAATTAATTCTCGCGTTTGTTTATTATTTCTTGTTTTTCGTTGGCAATTAGAACAACAATAAAAATGGGCACATGAGCAAAATCTTAAAGGCGCACACGCACACATATGTACATACAGGACACGCTTAATCTCTTGGTTTGCTTCTATTTTCTAGTATTGGTAGTACCCACGCCTTTCATTTGTCACTTTTCACTTCATTCAGACGAATTGCGCGTTCACTTTTTTGTCGAAGATTTGCAAATGAATTCTAGTATAACTATTTTTTGTTCAAAGCACGCAACTAATGCAGTTTAATTACAAAACAAACACATTTTAACAGTCAAAAGCACAGAACAAACACGCAAATCAATGCTCCGCTGAGGCCCAGTGCTAAAAACGGCTAATCGTCACGTTGCTGAACACTGAGGTAACATCGAGTTCTCACAACACTGATATTTATCGAGCAGCTTATCGCCATTTAACAGAAATACTGCTCACCTAACAGAATTGCCAAATATAGTAAATTGTGCCTGGCTCAAATGTATTAGAAAATGTTGGGATCATTAAAAGAACAATCAAGGCTGATACAAATTCAACGAAAACACAGTTCATATAAGGAAAATATACCTCAGCTATCCTTGAAATATCACTCGACGAGCAATAAAAAGAGAGCAATTCAAACTTGTGTCACCAATTGAAAATTCCAATCGGAACATATTCGATATACTGAATGGCATGCTATAAAAAAGAAATTAATCGTCAGGTCCGATATATTACATTTATTTCGTCATCCCTGGACGGCAGCCGAAACTTGCTTAGAATTTTACACAAAATTACGTGTCTCGATTGGAATTTCGCAATATGGTTGACAATCTGCCGCCCCTAGAACCCAGTCTGCAAAACCTGGTCGAACAGGAATCTCTAAAATGGATATTCGTTGGCGGCAAAGGCGGCGTGGGCAAAACAACCTGCAGGTGAGACAGAGACAGTCCCAACAGCAGCAGCAGCAGCAGCAACAACAACAACAACTTTAATGCGGTGCAAATCCAATTAATCCATCTGCAGCTCCAGTTTGGCCGTGCAACTGGCCAAGGTGCGTGATTCGGTGCTCATCATCTCCACAGATCCGGCGCACAACATATCGGATGCATTCGATCAAAAGTTCACCAAGGTGCCCACTAAGGTCAATGGCTTTGACAATTTGTTTGCTATGGAAATCGATCCGAATGCGGGTCTCAGCGAGCTGCCCGACGAGTATTTCGATGGCGAGAACGAAGCATTGCGTGTCAGCAAGGGTGTCATGCAGGAGATGATCAATGCGCTGCCCGGCATCGATGAGGCCATGAGCTATGCCGAGGTCATGAAGCTGGTGAAGGGCATGAACTTTTCGGTGGTGGTATTCGATACGGCGCCAACGGGACACACGCTGCGGCTGATCGCGTTCCCGCAGGTGGTCGAGAAGGGTTTGGGCAAGCTGCTGCGTCTCAAGATGAAGCTGGCACCGCTACTGACGCAGTTCGTCTCCATGCTGGGCATGGCCGATGTTAATGCGGACACATTGTCACAGAAATTGGACGACATGCTGCGCGTCATAACGCAGGTCAATGAACAGTTCAAGAATCCGGTAAACACTGCCTCAATCATGTGTTCCAAGTCCACAATTCATGTGTCTTTCTGCAGGATCAAACCACATTTGTTTGCGTATGCATTGCCGAGTTCTTTTCGCTGTACGAAACGGAGCGCCTGGTGCAGGAGCTAACCAAATGCGGCATCGATGTGCACAACATAATTGTCAATCAATTGTTGTTTTTGGGCAAATCGCATAATAGCTGCAGCATGTGCGCATCTCGGTACAAGATCCAGGAGAAATATCTCGATCAGATTGCAGATTTATATGAGGACTTCCATGTGACCAAGCTGCCGTTGCTTGAGAAAGAAGTGCGCGGCCCGGAGAGCATTAAAACATTTTCGGAAAACCTAATGATACCCTACAAGCCGAAAGAAACTGCGCCTATGTAGGCATTTGTTTGTATGCATCGTTCTAGTTTCTAAGATTTTTTGATGAACTTATTGTGTATATGTGGTTGCATGAAATATAAAAACCCAATTATGGTCTGGTGTCGCTCGCAGTCAATTTAAAAAATGCGGCTGCATATTAAAGATTTATCGATGTATTGATTTCAACTAAATCTGAGCAGGGTCACTATGAAACAATCAGTGCATTCGATATGCCTGATTAAATATCGATAGCAAATGGCACTAATTTGAATGTTTATATCGAGCAGTTTAGTCATCTCTAAGTTTTATTTTGCGTCGTTTTGTTTGCTGCACAGCACTTTCGGGTTTTTGTTTTCTTCGTTGTTTTTAAGTCCTTGTCAAATGTAACACTACACTTAAACTTAGACCATTTCCAATCGCTAACAAATCTTAGATTTGAGCAAATATTTCTGCCTGCTGCACACGCGCAACAACCAAACGAATTTCCTCAAGGACTTCTAGGACTGCACAACGAAGGCAAACAGGTGAGTTAGCTGTCAGTTAATTGAGCGCCAAAGCTCTCTGTGTGTGTGTGTGTGTGTGAGTTTGTATGCGATCAATAATACAACAATAGCTAGCCCACCACACAAACAATCACCCACAATCGCCAACGCCACAACAATGTGTAATAATAATAACTACAACAGAATTTACTGCTTCCATTTATAATATATATATATATGTGCACACACAAGCGATTAAGTTGGACAACATTCATATGTGCTGTTTGTTGTTGCTGTTGTCAACTGCCGCGTCGTTTCCGCTTTTGCCTTTATGCAGCAAACGGCACATCCGCTTGAGCTGAACGCCACATTTGTCCTTGGCGAAGCCGCCTTCCTGTGGGCCATATCCATTGCATGTCGCGTGACCTTAAGCTATTTGCCAACGGCTCGACTAGAATATGCATATACACATTATATGCCCAGTGTGTAGGGTGTTTGCTTAATTAATTGCGAGTCGACCCATTTTTGGGTCTAGCTCCTTTTATGGCAACGGGCACGTATGCACCGTTAGAATAACCCAATAGAGAACAAAATTCCGTCAGTCGCATGAGGCGACACAATTTGCGGTTAGAGCAACTTCGTCCAATCAGTGTGTGGGGCCATTATTCACTCGACGCTATCTTCAGATGTTTGAGGCAGCCTTTTATCAATAAGATACGCGCCCATTACAGTGTTGCCAACAGTTGCTTTTAAAAAACAGCTAAATTCAATGTTAAAAATGCTAAAAATGGCGGAATTAGCTTGCTGCACAAAGTCAAAAAGTTGAGTTGCTGCGAAAAAAAAAAGCTAAATACGCTTTTTTGCTCTAAGCCGAATTTGGCTGGAAATAAGCTGAACTGGCAACGCTGCTGCATTGGTGTGCGTGTGTGTGTGTGTGTGTGTGTGTGTTGTTTATATGCATATGTATGTAATTCTTTATCAAACTGCCATGCTTGCTACTGGAAAGAGACAACAACAAAATGTCCGTCGCAGGCTTAAGACAGAGCCTATTGCTCTGGAGCGTTGACTACTGGAATCTGGAAGGTAAATGGAGAGATATCCATGAAGTTGTTTGATCTTCGGTTTCTTCAGTTTCACCTCTGTTTACGATTTACAATTCAAATAAGTTTAGCCCAACTAATAATGCCTACCACCTTGCAGCTGTTATGGCGGACAATGTGTTCAAGTCGCACGATATTGGGTTACGCGCTCAAAAGAAAATACTCTCACGCATGGCAACGAAAAATATTGCGAAAACCTTTATTGACGGCACAACGGCCTCGCTGCTGGATAATCTGTACAGGCTGTGCAAGCTGCATACGGGCAATAAGGCGCGCGCCGAGAAACTGATTAAAAATATTATCAAAATTGTTATTAAAATTGGTGTGCTGCATCGCAATAACCAGTTTAGCGCGGAGGAGCTGCAAAATGCGGAGAATTTCAAGCGTAAATTTCAGGTAAAGTACAAACATACACTATAAGCATTTCAATGATTAGTGCGGCTGTCTTTTGCAGAACACACAATTGTCCATCATATCGTTCTACGAGGTGGACTTCACCTTCGATCTGGCCTATCTGCAAAAGTCGATACAGGAGTCGCGTGTGGCGCTCAAATCGATTGTGCAGCCGCATTTGACGGACAAGTCCATTGGCCGCATCGACGAGGTGTTCGATTTCTTTGGCGATGCGGGCCTGCTGGAGCTGGCATTCAAACCGGATTCGCCATATCGCGAGGTGATGGGCAAAATTGTCGCTGACATTAACTCGGCCATGGAAACGGGCGACATATGAGCAGCAGAGGCAAACTGCAAGCTATCGACAAAAAAGGGGCTATTATCAAACCAAAAACGAACCAACAACTACAACAACAACAACAACATGAGATACTAAGAGCTAGTTAAAAGGTCTACAAAGTCCACCAAATAGAAAGTAACGTAGCGCGGCATAAAAGACAAAAGAAAATGAAGAAAGAAAAGCGAAAACTCGTTAGACAAAGAGAATTATTTCTTAATTGAATTGGTGATAACACAATTAACACTATTTAGTAGCAGTCAAAAACGTCCAGATTGATTTAATTTAAGGCAATGTTAACATTTTTTGTCGTTTAGATATAAGAAGAAATGCATTTTGCCAAAGGAATTCACAAGAAAAACAAACAAACTCAGATTGTAAACGCAAGCAAATTGCTTTTTATCAATGTATTTGTCGTTGATTGTATTCGTAATTGTGTGTGTACGTTATAAGTATATGTAAAAGTCTGTCTAAATATTGTATTGTCTAATATTTGATACTTTTGTCTGTTTTGATACTCCAAAGCTCGCTCCTTAAACGCAATTATATACTCGCTTCATATCTAAGAACTTATCAAATATCTATCTATATGCCCTGTACTTAATATCCCTTTATCAAATTTCTGCTGATCTCCACAAGAGTTTCCTAACGAGCGAATTGTTGCACCCATAAGAACCGAGTTTAAGCCATTGCATATTAAATTGATTAGTTAATACACATTCTAGAGTTGTTTGTAAACCCGATTTACGTATGTATTCCAGCCTCATGGCCAAAGGCGTGCGGTTCAATAGCCTTAAGCACACTATTTATGATATTATCTTCCCCATCCCAATTGTTTTTCCAATTAGATATTTAATGTACCTTTAACATATCAAAAGATCACTTCAAATGTGCAACACAATATCATATATATATATATATATAGATAGTTGAACGAGACAAACAGAATTCGTGGCACATATTTTCGATATTACAGTTGATGTTTCGATTTTTAAAAAACATGTATTTATTTGTTTAGAAAACAAATTTATGTTGACTCCCAATAAAAGCAACAACAATGATAATTATAAAACTCAACTAATGACTTACTTTATTTGCCTAACAACTTCACTCGGCGCGTTTCTGCTCCAGCACATCGACGCCGCCCGCGCCTGCCTCCAGTTTCTGCTGCTTGAACAGCTCGATGAGCTTCTCGGTGGCCGTTTGCGGCACATCGAACGGTTGGGATGCTTCGGTGCTGGGGTAGGCTTGGCTGTGTGCATCGGGAGATCGCAGCAGAAACGGCGTCCAGGGTCCTTGTATAGACGGCACATCTGTGTGCCACATTTTGCGCAGGCGCAACGAACTGGAGCTGCCGTTTTGCGTCTTCAGCAGCTCAATCCATTTGGTTATCTCGGCCTGTGTGCTGTTCCGGCAGCTGAGCCATTCGCGATCGCCATTCACTAAGGGGTTGTGTGTGAAATGCACATTAATATTATACTGCATGCCTTCCATACGGGAGCTACTTACGGTATTCGCCCACGAGAACAGGTGTGCGATGGCGTCGTGGTTTCACATAGACGACAATGCCGGGATTCTCCTTGGCAAAGTCCACCAAATGGTTTTCAATGAAGTCCCTTATCAATGAATTAAGTGTTGCACATAAAAACTATATATGTTTTGTTTATTTATGCTTACCGCATGCCGCGACTGGAGCCGTTGTTCTTGCAGAACTTCAGTGTGAGGCGCTGCAGCTGGCAGACATAGCGGCCGAGGCCATTTTGTAGGGGTGCGCGCGGAAAACCGGATTTAAGAAACAGATGACTATTTGACATATTAAATGATATTTAATTGAAATGCAGCCGCAGTTTCTGTTTTAATACAGACTTTCTCAATTTTCGTAACCAAAAGCGACGTAACCTCACGCCGTGTACAAAATGTCAGCTGTTGCTGCTGCTCTTAGACAGGGTTGTTTAACAAAGCAAAATGGAGGGGGGGGCAGGCACTGTGCGAATAAGCAAATCAAATAAATAAATGCAAGGCAATATCCCTTATTAAAAACAGGATTTAACGCATTTGCATTTGTTTGTGTGTTAAAATTAGCTAGCAAAGTGAAACTGCAGTTGTTGCTGCTACGCACAAAACTCACAAACCGGTTTTCGTTGAGTGCGTGACACTGTGCGTCTAGCGTTTAACAGCCCTGCTTATTATAAGCGGCTGATAACGGCGAAAAGCGGCACGAAAGAGAGAGAGCGTCAATTTTGAATGCAGCAGCGTCGCGTCGTTTTTCATTTGAGTTCGGAAAAAAGAAAAGAGAATTAGAAAACGTGCAACGTGTTCGTGGAGCGGGCACTGCGGCTGCATTTTCAATTGATTGCATTGCCTTATCAGTGAATTATTTAGCACAGTAGCACGATAATGGCCACAGTGAGTTCAATTTATAAATACATTTAGCCATTGCAATCTAATTGTAAACAAATCCCGGCCCACAGACTATTGCAGGTTTAAAGTACCCGCAGCTTTGCAAGGCTGCTGCAGTCAACAACCACAACAACAACAACAACGACGACGACGACGACGATGATGAGGAGGAGGAGGAGGAGGAAGAAGACGAGGAGGAGGCAGATGAGTCTGGCTCGACCAGCTCGTTTAGCTTACAGGAATGCATAAACGAGTTTCGTGCGCGCCGCATCAGACGTGTCTCCACGCAAAGCCGTGGCGAGGAACCAATAGCTGCAGCTGCACCCATCGCCGCCGATACGCATCTAATCAACCAGAATCTGTGCAACAAGGCGCAGGAGCGACGGGGCAAACCGTGCAAGAACGGTTTCTGCTATTGCTTCACCAGCGACAGCGGCGACTGCACATCGACGGCGCCGCCACGTGCCGCGTGGCACGTGCGGCAGCACAAACGCAGCAGGCGCTCCGAAAGCAATAAGGTGCGCTGTGAACCCTGCCGAATCCTCGTTTCAATTCAGAACAATTCACATAACTAACAACTAATATATGCTGCGTTTTTTCATACAGGTTGGCGTGGCACAGCCGCCTCCGAACAATCTGAATGGACAGCAGCGCCAGCAACCGGTTCAGTCACATCGCCAAAAGCAGCCGGCCCTCATTGCGGGTCACACCTCCATAGTTAGCAGCCCGCTGACCGCTGTCAGTAGCCTGCACGCCGTGGGCGAAAATGCGCCGCTTATACACATTATACAAGAGCTGCGCGACAATTGCGTCATTTCGGAGGTGCGCGTTAACAGGGAGAAGCTTGCCCGGGCCAGCGCCAGCAATTCAACTGCAGCCAAGCTCAAAGAAGCTGCTCCAAAAATGCGCAAGACCGAATGCATAGACTATGCTCCCACGGCGCCCGTGCTCTCGAATATAAGCGAGCAGGAGACGCCGCCGGAGGAGAGCGAGCAGGCCTTGCAGACGGGTGGCAGCCTGCAATCGACACGGCGCAGTTCGCGTCGCAGCTCCAGCGGTGCAGGCGGGCGACTGCTGCAGAAGCGCCTCTCCCACGGACAGGTGAACTTCAAGACGCGCGACATGGAGCTGCCGCCGCCAAAGCCGCCGCGCCGCAGCTCACAGAGTCTCGATGGTAAATTGTCGCTATCATCGTTGAGCTCGACGACGCCGTCGGTGCGGGATGCCGAGCGTGTGTTGGATGAATTTCTGCGCAAGCATGGCGTCAAGCTGCCGGCCACAAAGCTGGAAAACTTGCCCAAAGCCAAGAGCAAGCGCAAATCCTATCCACTGGGTAAGTAAAAGGCGCGCAGTTCTAACTATTAACAAAGGTTTTGGCTATATTAGCTTTACTATAACTATTGGGTAGTTAGTTTTAATGCTTCCCAGTTTAATATGCAATTCAAATTGTAGAAATAAATCAAATATATGGCTTTGATATATTCATGTGCTTTACTATAATATGCTTGCACACTTTCAGCTGAAATTGAGAAAGCCGAGCGCATCGCTCCATTGCCCAGCTGCCCCTCGCTGAGCGATATTGAGCGCGTGGTGGAGTCCAAGCGCGGCGCGCACTATGTCAAAAACATACACATGGCCAGCCGCAAGAGCGCCGTGGCCGATAAACCGCTGAAGGAGTTCACGCTCGGCTGGACGGAGCCCAAGATCAACGATATGCTGAACTATGACACGGCCAAGCGGGCGCAGTTCAAGACGCACGCGGCAGAGCCAGCGCCTCAGGTGGCCAGCAACGTGGGCTGGCTGGCGCCAAAGATCTCGCTGGATACGGTTGATGGCGTTAGCGATAACCTGGCCGTCAACATGGAGCAGAAGCACACGCCCATCAAATATCCTCGCCTGCCCGCCAGCAAGCACAGCAGCAGCCAGAAATTCATTTGGGGCGAGCAGTGGCGACAATTGACGCCCTGGAGTGCCAATGGGAAGCGCACCGGACTGCGCAAGAAGTCCAAAAACTTTCTGAACAATTCCAAAAAGAAAATACTGCGCTTTGTCTCGCCCAAGAAGAGCAACCAGCAGCAGCAGCAGCATCAGGAGCCAGAGCAAAGCGAGCGCCGTCGACCCACGCCTCGTCTCTGCACAGTGGGCGTCCAGACATCCGCATCCCAATTGGATCTGCAGTCGCAGTCACAGTCGCCGCCGGGCAGTTATCATTCGCCCGTGCAGTCAACGCCAACAGTTAGCGCCAGGCAGCATCAGTACAAGGCTAGCTCCGAGCAGCCCTACTTTGATTTCGAGCGCAAAGTCAACCCGCCAACGCCGCCCAAGAAAGTGCCGCGTACACAGCGTCCGCGCAAGCTGAACTTTCAACCAGCGGAGAACAATCCCGCGACGTATCGCTCCTTTCACAAGGAACTCGATCAGGATGTGACCATCACCAAAATGGGCTATCTGCTGGGCAGCATACGCGCCAAATTGGAGGCCAGCGATGAGCGCGCCCAGCGTACATTTCGGGTAAGTTCTCCTACTTTTATTTATTTATTTTTATATATACAGTAAATTTGGTGGCATTTATTGACGGGGAAGACAGTTAAATGCTAGGTCAGTGCAAAGATAGCGCCAAGTGCATAGTGATCGGAACCAAGGTAGTGATTCGGTATGTTGCCCACATTCGAGCAACAGTTGATCGTGGGCAGCCTGTAGATGCTGAGCACCTGCAGCTTTTGCTTGTTCTGCGGGCACACCGAGTGCAGTATATAGTCAACGGTTATCCAGTTATCCTGATACGTGGACGCCGTGTATTCACCAAAGTCCAATGCTTCAAAGTTAAGCGCCGGGTCATCCACAGCTATGGTCGTTAGCAGCTCCATGGGCGGCGCATGTATCTCCGAGTTAAAGTCACCGGTTAGAATGACGGGCGTCGGGTAGGCTTCGTCGGGCTGCTTCGCATTGGCATCTATGGCAAAGCTGCGCAGCTCCGACAGCAGCTTGGTCACCTGGGCGCAGCGCACATCGTGCCGTTTTGGATTGTAGAGCAGATGCGTTGTGGCTATAATCACCTCTTTGGGCTCATTTATAACTTTTGTCTGGCCGACCGGCTTCAGTCGGAATTTGGCCAACAGCGCCACATTCTCACGATTCAGCAGCGGCACATTCGCATCGTAGAGCTCCACGCCCTGCTGAGCGAGCAGCTGCAGTTTGCAGGCATCGTAGATGATGGCACAGCCGTCGGTTCGACTGCCTGTCTTCTTTTTGTACACGTACTCCAGGCGCTTGCCGCTGCTGGCTGTCAAACGCTGCACTAGCATGGGCAAATGGTCGTATTGCATCTCCTGCAGGCAGAGTATGTCCGGATCCAGTTTGTGTATCTCGCGGTGTAGACTTTGAAGGCGCTGCTGCCAGGTCAGCCATTGCTGTTTGATGTTCACGTAGAGGAACAGGTGCTCCATGAGCAGATCTTGTGCGAGTATGTTGTACGACAGCAGTTTGATTCTGGGATGCGGATTAGCCTCAAATTTTGGTGTTAGCGTCCATTTGCGGTTGTAGTCGTAGGGTTGCTCCATTTTACGGGCTGGCTGGCGCCTACTGTACAGGCCTCTGCGAAAGATTTGTATACTCATGTTAAGGGGTCGGAACGGGGATGTGGACATCTCATGCAAGTACAAGGATACGACAGTTTTCCAATGTTTTTGATCCCCTTTCCGACCAAAAAATGAAAACAGCGCCAGCCAATCCAGTCCTCCGCAGTCGTGTTATTGTGACCTTCGATATTTATTGCTAATTGCCATTCACAGTGCGATATATTGCTTTTGTAATCGTTATCGAACATGTAATTGTGTATATACCAAATGAACTGGTTCAAATATTTCAATTTTGTTCGTTATCGAACATGTTGACAAGGCGCGTAATTGTGTGCATGCCAAATGAACTGGTTCAATTATTTAAATTTTGTTCGCTAAGCAAAACTTAGTTCGCAAACTCAATAACAATTAATTAACTTAGTTCGCCTAACTAAACTAACTTAATTACATTTTTGTGAGTACCACGTTTAAAACTGGAATGTAACATGTTTTAGGAGAGTTCACGTTACACGCCCGTGGAGCAAACGGAGCTGCCATCTGATGGTATCGACTGCACCGATTCATCCAGCAACCGTTTGCAGCGCTCGGCAACAACCACGTTGCGGCCGCGACGTGATCTACACCGCGAACCCATTTACTCAGAGATTGAGGAGGACTGCATGGTCATTAGCGGCAGTCCACAGTTTGATGTAAGAACAGAAGCGCAGCTGGAGGTGGCGCCAACGCCGACGCCCACGCCCACAACAACTGCAACGGTGACTGCAACAATCAGCGAGCCAACGCCCGTGTCCTCGCCTTTGCCATATCAGAAACACCCAGCAGCAGACCTCAACGCTTTGTACGCGCAAGTGCAAAAGGCCAAGAAGGCGGCGTTAAAGCCAACAACGAACCCAACAACGACTGCAGCTCCGCCCAAGGCACTGGGCCACTTTCTGCAGGAATCCCTGTTAAATGGCAGCTTCTTCCAGTTTATGCCGCTGCCAGATGAGCCCAGCAGTGATACCTCTTACACCATGTCCACCTCGAAGTCCGCCAATGACGCAACGGAGCAGGCGACGCTGCCAATGCATCAATCGCTGAACAACATAAACGAACAGCACTCGCCGCCCAAGAAGAATCGCAATCTTTCCAAATCCGAGCTATCACTGCAGCGCAGTGAGATATTCCTAGAGAATTTGTGCCGCAGCGAGATGGTGCTGGACCACGATGACAATCTGCGCCTGGAGAAGGTGCAAAATGTAGGTGATTGCCAGATCAATGATCAATTTATTATGCTAACCTCTTGACTACTTGTAGACCTGCCTCCGGGCGAATCCGGCTGCAGCCGCTGCGGATGATGTGTCCTACGATATGCCAATTGAACTATACGATGACTATGTGCTGGAGGACGGCAATGCCAGCGGCAGCTCCTTTGCCACGAATGGGCAGAGTCAGTACGGCTCCGTCCAGCTGGAGCCGCCGCCGCCGTCCTCGGATAATCAGAGCACGCCAAAGAAGCAGCAACAGCAGCGCTTTACGACTAAGGTAGAGATTTTTGTTGATTCCCATTAGCAGCTAAGGCTTTTCACTGTACACCATCATCGAACCGAAAACCCATTATAAATATAAGCTTCATGCGTATTTAGCTATAAACAAAACCTTTTTCTGCTTCTTCTTTGCTTCATACCACACTTCAAATTGATATTAACCTGTTCACAATTATGTAATCCGTTGCCTTGCGCCATTTTTCAGCCCACACGCGAGCTGTGCATTGATATAAATGATGGCCCGTCGGTGTCCGGCCATGCTGTCAGTCACAGCTGCCCGACTACACCGCAGCAGCAGCCGCCGGGGAAGCCCGGCAATGTGAAGCTGGCGCACAGCAGCCTCGACGAGCTGGCTCAGAGGCCGGGCAATGACAGCCAGTTGCTGTCGGTGAGCACATTGGCGCGCTATCGCCTGCTTAAGGATGCAGTGCGTCGCTCCTATCGCAAGGGCAAAGACTTCTTGCTGGCCGAGAAGCAGCGACTGACGCAGAGTCTCAGTTTGTCGCGCGATCAGGCCAATCAAACTGAGGGCGAACTGGACAGCAGCAGCAGCTACTATGCCAGCTTTAATCTGGACTCGCTGCTCAATGAGTCGCTGACGACGAACGAGCAGCTGGCGCAGGCTGTTAGCATTTGCCGTCAAATGCCCGAGCTGGAGATCTCCGCCGAAATGGTGGAGGCGGAACGTCTGCTGCTTTTCAACACGCTGCGACGAAAGTCCCCGCCGTCGGGGCTCAGTGCGGCCACGCTGGCCGCCCGTCAGCAATGCCAGTCCCTGCTTCTAGACGGCTTGCATTTTCCGGTAAAAGCTGACGTTAGCCAGGACATGTTCTTCAACTACTACTACATCTGCACCGTAGAGTGCGAGGGTCGCATACGCTCTACACAGTCCATTGAGTGCCAGAATGGCGCCGCGGTCTTTCGCGATTGTGGTCTTGAGTTCTATAGCAGCGGCCCGGCGGAGGCGCTGGAATTGCGCTGCCAAATCTTCATGCTGCGTCTGCGCAAGGTATCGACGTTATCCCTGGAGCCGGCCAAGACGCTGCTGGTAAGTAATGGGCTGGCCTTATTTACTCAACTCAATCCCTTCTCACAACTTCTGTCCTCCCAGAAACGTGGCAGCGGTAGCCTTGGCTCTGGCAGCTCCAGCAACTCCTCGCAGTGTGATCAGATCGTTTCGCGTTTTCGCCTGCACGCCTCATTCACACTGAAGGCCGCCGACCTGGCACCCTATGAGCTGGTGGCCAGTGAAACGCAACCCAGCGACAAATTGTGGCTGCGCACCTCGCGCACCTGGCAGCTGCCGCTGACGACGCACACAAAATCCACGAATTTAATACCACAAATTGCGCTGAGCGGTCGCGTTGAGCTACGCCTGCCCAAGTCCCAATATGCGGGCTATCTCAATGTGCAGGATACGGATCCCAAGAACAAACACAACTGGAATCGTCGTTGGTGCACGCTCGACGGACTGCACCTGGCTGTTTGGCAGCACGAACACAATCTCAGCGGACAGCCGCCGCTGCTGTCCATGCGGCTGGAGGAATGTCGCCAGGCTCAATTAGATGTGGCGCCACGTGAGCTGTGCGCACGTGCGCGCAGCTTTTGGCTGCAGTGTCCCAATGGTGAAGCCTTCTTTGCGACCGACACGCAGGCGGAGCTAGTCGAATGGCTGCGGCAGCTAAACGAGACGCTAGCATTTGCCAGACGTTGGTTAAGTGCCTCTTAGCAACTTATTTATATTATTTATATTTCATTATATTTTTATATGTTTAGTTTAAGACTTTTGGTTATTTAGTTTGGGTTTGTTAACGTTTGCCATGCAAACTTAAGATGAAAGTGTAATACGGGCCAAACATAAATATTTCAGTCAAATGCTTTGTCTAGTCTAAGCTACACTCACATTCATAAAAACTGTAGGGTATTTGGCCTTAAGAGAAACGGGTGAAGCCCCATTAAACCTTGAGCAAACTTCTTGTGTGTAGGCTGTAATACATGCACAACAACAACAACAGTTTATTACATACATAATTTACATGGATTATAATCATATGGATATATATATATATAAATTGGTATATATATATTTGTGCAGGTTACAATATGTTACATAGTGTTAAAAGGTTTAAATATTTTATAGATTGGTAACTTTCACGCCCACATGTACACAGACATATAAGCATACATTGGATACATTTTGATAGTTTTATATATATATATATATATATATTTGATATTTATAAGCTGCCTTTGTAATTCCATTTGCTCAATTACAGTGCAAAACATAAATTTTGAGGTTATGTTTGTTGTGGTAATTTGTTTGTCAAGCAATTTACATTCTTATATTGTATATTATTAATTACAACTATTGATTTCTCGTTTAATTATATCAAAAACTGTTTGTGTGCATGTTCTTCTGTCTCTATGGCTATTTTGATGTTTTGCTTTGCTTGTTTTTCGGCGCTCGAGATAATTTTTTGTGTTTATTTATATTTTCTTTTTATTTTTTGGATATGCCGTTCGACTCTCAGATATATGTGTGTGCCTTTCGACCGTTCCTAGTGCGCGTGAATTGGTAACCAATAGTACCTCAAGCCAAAACGTATTTCCAGACGCGATTCGTCTGGTGGTTGGTGCCCGTCTCCGTTACATACAGGGCCGAGCCATTGACGTTGACGGCTATGGAATGCGGATTCTTGAACTCGCCCCAGTGGCCAATGATCGTCTCGGAGCGCGGATCGATGGTAAAGCCACGCACCGGCAGCATAGAGGTAGGTCCATTCACTGCGAACACAATGTCGCCATAGCCACTGACGCCAAAGACGCGACCCAAATCTGGTTCCTGTATGGTGGCCGCCGGTTGACCCTCGCCATGCGACGACTTAAGGCCAGCTCTGCAAAGAGCAAGAGAGAGCGAGAGAGAGAGGATAGAATTATGATCAGAATACGCTTTTGACTACTCACTTGGGGCACACAACGCGCATATTCTCGCGGTCCGCAATGCACAGCAAGTCCAAGTGCTCCAACAGGGTAATCGCATGTGGCACCTGCAACGAGAGGAATTCTACAAGGATCTGTAATGTTGAGCTATTACTAGCAAGAATAATATTACGCATACGCACCGGGTGGTTGGGGAATGCTGCGCAAGAGTTTGCCAGCGGCATTGAACTTGAGTATGCGACTATTACAGTAGCCATCAGCTATGAAGAACTGAAAGAAAAAGGCAAAACGGATTAATGGATACAATTCAATCGATTTCAAGGTGTGGCTAATACCTCGCCTGTTGTGGCCACAGCAATGGATGTGGGCTTGCACAGTTGCTTGACGGAGGCACCAGGCCGGAAACGCTTGCCAATCACCAGCTGCGGCTTGCTCTCAAATGGCCGGAACTGCAGTTGTTCGAAAGTTAACATATTGAATTGATAGCTTATGCAGTTGGACAGCCCACCTTAAAGGCCTGATGCATGGCCACGTCGGTTATCCAGTAGTTGCCGTGCCCATCAATTGTCATGCCATGCGGCATATAAAACATATCGGAGCCCCAGCCGGTTTTGATGGCGCCCGTCTTGGGATCCAGCACATAGATGGTCTTCTCCTTGATGGGCCCATACTCGATAAGATAGTAGATGTTGCTCTCATTAAATGTGCTGCATTGGATAACAATATGTGACAAAACACTTGTTAATGGACAGCTGTTGACCTACTTTACATCCCAGTAGCGGTCAGCGCGATGGAAAATCACTGGATTGCCCTCGGGATCAACGGAAACAGCTGTCACTTGACCAAAGCTATGCTGATCTGTTGGCCAATTCTCTACGAGCACAGGCACGGGCACACTGGCCGCTGGTATGGGCACATTGTCGTAGCTACGTTGATTTTGCAGCGCCAGTTCATCGCCCGCCAAAGGCAGCTGCTTGGCCTACAAAGAGGAGGGTGGGGTTACGCTGACTATGAGCCATCTGTGACACAACAGAACCTACCTCCATGCGGCGCTTAATCAGCTCCCTGACCTCGTCGAAGAAGCGTTCATTGAGGTTTGGGCCAGCCTCTGGCAGGTGGTTGCCACCGACCGCAGTCAGTGTGGCCAGACCAAGCGCCAGCAGCGCCACAAATAAAATGCGTCGCATTTTACACTTAAAAATCGAGTTCCTGCGTTTTTTTTTTACACTTTTTATTGAACGGCACTTGGTGTTCGTTTGTTTTTTTATTTTACACGATTTTCTTGGCTGACGAGCGCGTTGGCTGCCTTAACATCTGTTGGAGTTATCTATATGTTGAGCTGGCAATAACTGAACTGGCTCGGGGCCAACACACGCACAGCACCTACGCTTTTCGCTTTCATTGCGAACGCATGCGCCTGGCCGGCACCGTGGGACGCCAGGCGCCAAAACAGCTGCAATTTATATGATAGCTGTGGCAATAAACCGTTTGTGCCACGGTGGCACGCACACAGCTGCAGATGCTTTGATTGAAAAGCGTTTATTGATTTTCCAATTGCCAAAATTGAGCGCCAAAAGTTAGGCAACAAAATGGCCGCCCTATGCAGATGTTCGATAATTCTATTATGCACACAAATCGATAACACAAGATAATCTTATTATGCATACAAATCGATAACACAAGATCCAACATGAACGTGCACACAGCCAGGCACGTATGTATATGTATGCGAGACTGCTTAAGCGTGAGTGTGTAAACACTAATTGATATTAATTATAGTGCAAATAAAATGCATCAATTTCCGTATATTTAACGTCGCTTTATATTATATTTGTAACCAATGGACATGTAATAGCATAGCTGCCATTTTAGAATATTATTTTGTAGGCCACTTGGGAAATGGTTGCATACTGGCAGCAGTCAGTGTAGCTGCTGTTGGTGTTGGTTATCGTGTTATTGTTACTGTTGTTGCTGTTATAGCTGCTGCTGTGATATGTGTGACGTCACGCGCTCAGCGCTCAACGGTACCCAATGCCAGTTGGGTCCAAATATAGCCGGTATCTGTCATGGAACAGTATGCATTGTAATAACGTCCCGGCGAGCTACAAAACAGAAAATTATACGATTACAAATCATTTGCAAAGGATTTGTTGATGCCATATAGAATTCACTTACCGGCAGTAGGAATATTGTGGGCACTTGCAGCGAAATAGATTCTGAAACTCCTCCTTGCAGACCTCATTCCACCAGCAGGTGCGCTAAAGTGTGGCCAAAGTTTGGAAATCTCTGTTAAAATACACATTTAATTCGACCAGTTAATACCTCGGTCATGTAACCATGCACGCTCTGGTCCGAGTAGCGCTTGTTCTGGTGTCCATCGTCCGTGGCATGCAGCGGACTCAGTGCCATGGCCAGCATCAGCACGAGTAGCCAACATCCGTGTCCGGTTTTGGGCAGGCTTAACGTCACGGGCAGCGCCTGAAAGCATGTAACAGCAATTTAAATACGTAGAAAACTTTCAGCTTTTCATTTGTCACACCTTTTGCATTGCGTTGCGTTTCGTAATTGCTGTTTTTGTTATGTTTTCGCCACTCTTTCGCGAATCACATGACGCTCTGCCGAAGCTGGAGCAGACACAGACACAGACACAGACACATACACAGACACATACACAGACACAGGCACCGATACAGCAGCATGTCTTGCGGCAAGTTGGCCGCTGTTTTGGCTTTGGCCTACTTTTGGGCGTCGCTCGGCTTCAGCTTTGACTACGTCGGCTCCCTTTATTTCACGCACACGCACAAAGCACACACACACATGCAAGCACATGCACACTCACACACAAGCACACAAAAATTATTTTCCAATTCGAGCACTGCTAAAATACAAGGTGTTTCTGTTATTAATACAAATGCCCTGAATGTTCATATACTTTTGTGTGTAATCTAGCGGGTATTCCCCGGCGTTGCCCGGGGTACGTATAAAATAAATAGACAAAGAGCCAAACATCGGGAAAATCAGATGAGATTTGGCCAATTTATGGGAGTGGGAAATTTTGTCCTATGTCTATATAGGATATTTGAGAATACCATTTTTACATGAATTTTGACCAAGAATAATGTTGCCAGATTTAGATGAACAATTGAACTAGAGGCCAAGCCATGAACAAAAAGACAAACTTTATGGAAATCGGTTGAGTTTTGACCGAGTTATGGGGTTGGGAAATTTCGACCTATGTCAATATGCGATATTTGAGGGTATCATTTTTACATGAATTTCGACTGAAAATTATGTTGTCAGATTTAGATGCACAATTGAACTAGAGGCCAAACCATGAACAAAGAGACAAACTTTATGGAAATCGGTTGAGTTTTGACCGAGTTATGGGGTTGGGAAATTTCGACCTATGTCAATATGCGATATTTGAGGGTATCATTTTTACATGAATTTCGACTGAAAATTATGTTGTCAGATTTAGATGCACAATTGAACTAGAGGCCAAACCAATAACAAAAAGACCAACCTTTTGGAAATCGGTTGAGTTTTGACCGAGTTATGGGGTTGGGAAATTTCGACCTATGTCTATATGCGATATTTGAGGGTATCATTTTTACATGAATTTCGACTAAAAATTATTTTGTCAGATTTAGATGCACAATTGAACTAGAGGCCAAACCATGAACAAAAAGACAAACTTTATGGAAATCGGTTGAGTTTTGACCGAGTTATGGGGTTGGGAAATTTCGACCTACGTCTATATGCGATATTTGAGGGTATCATTTTTACATGAATTTCGACTAAAAATTATGTTGTCAGATTTAGATGCACAATTGAACTAGAGGCCAAAGCAATAACAAAAAGACAAACTTTATGGAAATCGGTTGAGTTTTGACCGAGTTATGGGGTTGGGAAATTTCGACCTACGTCTATATGCGATATTTGAGGGTATCATTTTTACATGAATTTCGACTAAAAATTATGTTGTCAGATTTAGATGCACAATTGAACTAGAGGCCAAACCAATAACAAAAAGACCAACCTTTTGGAAATCGGTTGAGTTTTGACCGAGTTATGGGGTTGGGAAATTTCGACCTATGTCTATATGCGATATTTGAGGGTATCATTTTTACATGAATTTCGACTGAAAATTATTTTGTCAGATTTAGATGCACAATTGAACTAGAGGCCAAACCATGAACATAAAGACAAACCTTGTGGAAATCGGTTGAGTTTTGACCGAGTTATGGGGTTGGGAAATTTCGACCTATGTCTATATGAAATAAATGTATATCAGATATTTTAGGGTACCATTTTTACATGAATTTCGACTAAAAATTATGTTGTCAGATTTAGATGCACAATTGAACTAGAGGCCAAACCATGAACAAAAAGACCAACCTTTTGGAAATCGGTAGAGTTTTGACCGAGTTATGGGGTTGGGAAATTTCGACCTATGTCTATATGCGATATTTGAGGGTATCATTTTTACATGAATTTCGACTGAAAATTATGTTGTCAGATTTAGATGCACAATTGAACTAGAGGCCAAACCAATAACAAAAAGACCAACCTTTTGGAAATCGGTTGAGTTTTGACCGAGTTATGGGGTTGGGAAATTTCGACCTATGTCTATATGCGATATTTGAGGGTATCATTTTTACATGAATTTCGACTAAAAATTATGTTGTCAGATTTAGATGCACAATTGAACTAGAGGCCAAACCATGAACATAAAGACAAACTTTATGGAAATCGGTAGAGTTTTGACCGAGTTATGGGGTTGGGAAATTTCGACCTATGTCTATATGCGATATTTGAGGGTATCATTTTTACATGAATTTCGACTGAAAATTATGTTGTCAGATTTAGATGCACAATTGAACTAGAGGCCAAACCAATAACAAAAAGACAAACTTTATGGAAATCGGTTGAGTTTTGACCGAGTTATGGGGTTGGGAAATTTCGACCTATGTCTATATGCGATATTTGAGGGTATCATTTTTACATGAATTTCGACTAAAAATTATGTTGTCAGATTTAGATGCACAATTGAACTAGAGGCCAAACCATGAACATAAAGACAAACCTTGTGGAAATCGGTTGAGTTTTGACCGAGTTATGGGGTTGGGAAATTTCGACCTATGTCTATATGAAATAAATCTATATCAGATATTTTAGGGTACCATTTTTACATGAATTTCGACTAAAAATTATGTTGTCAGATTTAGATGCACAATTGAACTAGAGGCCAAAGCAATAACAAAAAGACAAACTTTATGGAAATCGGTTGAGTTTTGACCGAGTTATGGGGTTGGGAAATTTCGGCCTATGTCTATATGCGATATTTGAGGGTATCATTTTTACATGAATTTCGACTAAATATTATGTTGTCAGATTTAGATGCACAATTGAACTAGAGGCCAAACCAATAACAAAAAGACAAACTTTATGGAAATCGGTTGAGTTTTGACCGAGTTATGGGGTTGGGAAATTTCGACCTATGTCTATATGCGATATTTGGGGGTATTATTTTTACATGAATTTCGACTAAATATTATGTTGTCAGATTTAGATGCACAATTGAACTAGAGGCCAAACCAATAACAAAAAGACAAACTTTATGGAAATCGGTTGAGTTTTGACCGAGTTATGGGGTTGGGAAATTTCGACCTATGTCTATATGAAATAAATCTATATCAGATATTTTAGGGTACCATTTTTACATGAATTTCGACTAAAAATTATGTTGTCAGATTTAGATGCACAATTGAACTAGAGGCCAAACCATGAACAAAAAGACCAACCTTATGAAAATCGGTAGAGTTTTGACCGAGTTATGGGGTTGGGAAAATATATATATATATGGCCCAAAATAATGTCAGATTTAAATGCACATTTGCTCAAGAGCTCAAACCATGGACAAAGAGCCAAGCAAACAATTAAAATCCTGAACAGGGAGAGAGAAAGGCAGTCAAAGAGAAAGAGAGAGAGAGAGAGGGTGAGAAAGAGAGGGCAACTGGGAGTAAGTGTTGGAGAGTGTGTGTTAGAGAAAGAGAAAGTAGTAGTAGTAGTATAGAAAGAGAGAGTGAGAGAGCAACATCAACTGAGAATCTCGTAGAAGGGCGATACCTACAAATGCTTAAATATTATTTGTTTGTTTATTAAATGAAAGATCTATGACATTTTTAATACGTCACAGTGTTTGTCTAAGATAAACAGACGCATCGTGACTCAGCAGCAGATTCCTAAAATAGTCCAAAAACTCATTTATTTGCCAAAGTATTTTAATATGTAGCATCAAATATTTCCACAGGTTGAAAATATTTCCTACCAAGCGAATATAAGGCCAAATATAAGGTGTTTCTTTCGCCTGGGAAAAAGACAACAACAAGAACGAAATTGGTTCTAGCAACTTCTGAGGTCTCACTGCTTGCCTCCAAAATGGAAACCTGTGGAAACATATCGGCACATGCCGAATGTTTGAGTAAATTTACTTACATATGTATATACGAAAGAATCTGGTATAGATTTGTAGCGAATTTAAGAAAAATAAATATATATGCATCGTGTGGACTTGTTCAAACACCATTTTTTCCAAATGGTCTGTGGATCATTGAAAATGTTTATAGAAATTTCCATGCATCGCCGTCATAGCAGACGTCGATGTCTTCCCCCAAAAGCAAAATAACAAACAAGAACATTTTCTACCAAAATATTAAGTATACGACGCTCCTTCTATACCCTGTGTATAATTTGCGAAACAAGCTTCCATCTAATTTCTGTAGTTTATTGTTGATCTTAGAATATCTTGCCCTTTGATTTATTTAACCATAAAGTGAGTCATTTTTTTTTACAGGGTATATCATCGTGTCATATTATAGATATCAATCATAGATATAATGCTTGTGGGAGCAAATTCATATGGATGACGCCCGGCTAAAATTAGATGGCAAATACAAATTCATATTTTTAGCACATAGAAGATGTAAACAGTTTGATGTTCCTATAAAACTGAGCAGATTTTCGAAAAGCTCCACAAAAACGCTTCAAACGCGAAACGGAATATACAAGAAAATCAATTCAGCTGTTTTCACAAATAATCAACAAAGGTACAAGGCACAGAATATTAAAAAAATATATATAAAGAAAATTCGCAAAAAAAAAATAGATCGTAAACATTTTCGACTGATCCGTTCGACTAACTGGTGATGTGCATTAATTGCCATTAGCTCTGTCTATCTCTTCTGTTCTCCTGTCACGTAGATGTCCGTTGTGCCTCTAATGTTCCGCGACTGGTGGGATGAGCTTGAATTTCCAATGCGCACCTCGCGCCTCTTGGATCAACACTTTGGCCAGGGTCTGAAGCGGGACGATCTGCTGTCGTCCGTTTGGAACTCACGGCCCACAGTGCTGCGCTCCGGTTACCTGCGTCCCTGGCAGCGTTCGGTCAACAGTCTGCAGAAACAGGAGTCCGGCTCCACGCTGAACATCGATAGCGAAAAGTTTGAGGTCATTTTGGACGTGCAACAGTTCTCGCCCAATGAGATCACTGTGAAAGTCGCCGACAAGTTCGTCATAGTCGAGGGCAAGCACGAGGAGAAGCAGGACGAGCACGGCTTTGTCTCGCGCCAGTTCTCCAGACGCTATCAACTGCCAAGTGAGTACAGCTTTGGGTTGTTAAAGCATGTGCCCTGCTCTAATTGATGATGATTCTTCTTCTTTTTTGTTATCTCAGGTGATGTCAATCCCGACACAGTCACCTCTTCGCTGTCCTCGGATGGTCTGCTGACCATTACGGCGCCCATGAAGAAACTGCCGCCGCCTGCCACGGAGCGCCTGATCCAGATAACACAAACCGGGCCCTCGTCCAAGGAGGACAATGCCAAGAAGGTCGAGACCACAACCACCTAAACGCCATGGACTGTTAAGGTTCTCGCTCGCTTCTCTCCAAAGGAGCGTTATGAGCAACTACATTATTTTTTATACGAATATATGAGAATTAGAATTAGCGTAAACCTTGTATTAAATATAAATTCAAAAGTGAAATGAATGTCGAGAATTAAAGATGTTTTAGGGCAAAAGTACTTTCGATACGAATCACAAAATAAACCAAGGCAGATTCTTCGAAAAGAACTCTTGATCATATCAGATCAGAGATATAGTACATACATATAAAAAACTGATCCGTATAACTTGCCAAATGCATACGGAAGTGTATGCGAAATTTATTCGAATAATTTCCACATAGAAAATTATGAAACAATACTATAAACTAGAAATTCGAGCATCTATTAATCATTTCTTGGCGGTCACATCGGGCGTCTTGTTGTCGGTTTTGTTCTTCAGATTCTTAAGCTGTTCCTTTTGCTGGAACCGAAAATCATATAATGGAATGCCATATACATAGGACTAGAGACAGACCTGCTTGTGAAAGAACTGCTCCTCGTGCGCCGCTTCCATTTTGCCAAAGGAGCCGCCGGCCTCGCGTATGGCGCCGCCGCCGCCTCCACCCTTGCCGGCACCGCAGCCCAGTTCTCCGACATGCGACATTTTCAGATGCCTGGCAAATAGTTGATATAGTATATATATAGTTAGACTCGAACTTGCTTGCAATAGTTATTTATAAGTATGCAGTTGGCAATTAAGAGGCGCAAGCTTATGCAATGCCTTCTTGAAATATTTCGCTAAGTTATGCGTTTCTTATTCGTTTTTTATTTATAAATACACACACACACACACACACACTAGGCTATTTTATGGAACTTACTGAATTTGCTTTGGATACAGGCTCTGACTGAGGCGACGCAATGTAAACATATTGATTTATATACCGGCTGTGTCTATATAGTATATTATTTAACAAATATACGTTGAGTGATGAATAATGCTCTTTATTTCAAGGTATTATGAAAAAAAAACTCAGCTGCGTTTTGTTGTATTCATGCATTGTCGAGGATGCCAACTTGTGTCAATCACGAATGACTATAACGGTCCAAATTTAATTGAATTGAATTTATAGAATAGAAAATGGTTTTTAGAATTGCAATATTGAATAATTGCGATTGTTTTGGGCTTGCGCAGAAAACGAAATTTAAATAACAAAAATTAATAAACAGTCCACATCGGTTGTATCTATACGATTTATAAACTAGTCGTGTGCAATTTGATGCAGTCTAAGGCTCCTCATCGCCGGAGTCATGGTCCTTATCGCGATTGTTCAAGGCCTTTAAGCATTCGGTGCTCTGCAACAGGCATTCGAATGAATTTCTTTTGTTAGATAGTACATTAATATATATAGATACGTGCCTCATTCATAAAGAAGGCCTCTTCGTGTACGTCCTTGTATTTGTTAATACATGTGGTATTATAGAGGGCTGCGTGATCTAGGGTTCGTTGGTATTCCTCCCATTTGCGTAAGTGGTCCGCATTCTTGGAGGTTTCAATGTGTTTGCGTATATTGCACATAAGTCCTTGATTGATTGAGCTAAAATATTCCTCTTCTTTTATGCCACCTTGCATCTTTCCTAATCCGCCGCCCAGCAGGAACACATTCGGCATGTTGCTCTTCGTCTCTGAGTAACGTCTATTAGAACATTGTCTTCAAAAACAAAAACAAAAAAAAAAAAAATGAATGAATGATTTGAAAAAAATGCAATTAAATGCAATGCATTTTGTGAGAGTTATGGGCTTACGCGTAATTTAGATTTACGGTTTGTGTACGGGCAAACAAACCAGCGGGAAACATTTTTTCGTATTTAATATATTTGAATGTTTGATACGATATTAAAAACTTTCTGGTTGTAAACGAATGCTAAAGGCATCTAAATTTACTGTCAGTGAAGGTAGAACAAAATACAAATTTTGTAAAATGAAAGTAGCAATAAAAAACATCACAGAACTCCGCGAAAACTACATCCCGATATCGGTAAGTCACTATTGAGTCGATTGTTGTTGTGGAGTAAATTAAATAATATATAAATTCCAATGCGTCCGTTCACCAAAGACAGCCAACCAGTGGTAATCAAAGGTAGACGTAAGTCGAAACTGGAGGCGCCCAAATCAAAATCAGCGGCTGCGCTCGTCAAACGCAAAAACCGCAATGCACGAAGGAAACATAACGATGGCGCCGATGATTTGGCCAAGGAGCCGCCATGTCAGTTTGTTCCTGTGCGGCGCAAGCCGCTCGGTGAATATATGAATCTGGAGGGACCGCCGGTCGCATCGCCCTCACCATCATTGCAGGGCATGCGGATGAGTTATGCGGCCGCTGTCCAAACTGGTCTTGGTGTGAAAGTAATGATATCGCCGCGTTTAAAAAAATCGAATAAGCCTGGCAAGGGCAAAGCCATTAAGATAACTGCTGATACAAAGTTTCGGATATTTGATGAACAACCCAAGCCGCATATTGTCCGTGTCGATCCAAAAGTGTTTCGGGCTGATGTTGAGCAGAACAGAGCTAGATTGAAGAGCTGCAAATCAAAAAAGCCGATCACCCAAAAGGCTAGCAAATCGCTAATTAAACTAAATGCCAAAACTGAACCTGATGACGCTGATATTAAAGCGCTTGAATTGAAATTCAAAAGACTGGCATGCAATGTAGCAGGTACTGCTACAGTTGCGGCTGTGCAAACGGCTAGAAATTTGAATTCAATTCAGGGCAATTCTTTAACGGCGTCGAATGGTCAAGTGAAGCACAACAAATTGAAATCGCCGCCGGCATTTGTGGATTCTGTTAGCTATATAAGTTTTCATCATGAGCGATTGCATCGTTTAATCAAAAATCAAAGCATTTGCGTCATATGCTTACAATCGCCAGAGCCAATGAAGGTACCACAGTTTGAGGACAAGCATTTTAAATATCTCGAGGAAGCTGCACTTTTGGCACAAAATCGCACCATGCTACGCCTATGGCTGAACTCTGATCAACTGATATGCTAGTAAACATTTTTCAGACAGATAAATTTTAAAAGTTATATTAGTTATATTGTGTGTTCTAAGTTATGCCTGTTGACAAAACCAAATTTAAATGAAACGGCCATAATAAACTTGGCCTGCCAACGCAACGGCCGATAAAATAGTATTTTATAGCTAAATAGCTACTAAAAAAAACAAATTCAACCAAAAAACGAAAAAAAAATACTGCAACAAAAAAATACCGTGTGTACTATTTGTATATCGATAAAGTAGTACATATTTAGTGTATCATGGCCTGGTCACACTAGTTGTGTTTAGGTTGATTATTTTCCTTATTTTGCGTGTAAAATGTTGTGTGGTGAAAAGCGCAATTTACTTGCAATGCTTATGTAGTTTTCCAACCAGCTAGTGGCCAATGTGCAAGCCAATAATGTTAACCGTTTGACGGCATTACACCAACTGCATGGCAGCGCCTGTCTAGCCAAACAGCAGCCCAGCAAAGTGAAGGCGTGTGAACGAGCGAGCGAGCGAGCGAGCGAACGTGTGAGCGAAGAGTGGAGAGGAGCGGAGTGTGGAGTGCGGAGCGGAGCGCAGCGCGTTTTCTGTGTGTTTTGTGTGTGTATATAATGGACAAGTTAAAAAACAACAACAAAGAACATGCAGTTATTGCATCAATTGAGTGCTCCTATACCAATGCTGCTGACGCCGATGTGGATGTGGAGAGCAACAAGAGCACGCCCACACCATATTTTACGCCCCTGGAGTATTTGCAGACCTCCTTTGAGTTCCCATCACCCACAACAGCAGCAGCAGCCGCTGAGCCCGCACGAGCCTGCGATGAGGAGCCACTTTATACACCCAAACAGTTTACAATTTGCAATCCCAAACAGCAGCAGCAGCCAACACAACAATTGCCGCAATCGCCGACGACGCTGAATCGTAAATTCAAGCGATTCTCTTTATATGATCGCCGTTCGTGCTCGCCGCAGGACGGACGCATCTTTGCCAACAAGGAAAATACAATACCAAAAAAATGCAGCACCGATAACGATCACGATAGTTTGTATTTATCGAAAAGCGAACACAACTCACCCACAATCCTTTTTAGAGATGACAGCTCAACGACAACCACAACAACAACAACACCAAACCTCCTTAACGACTCGAGCCGCCTTAGCTACTCACCCAAACTGCTCGCCTCTATAAATAATCTAAATTTGAATCATTCACTTGGCGGTTCACCGCTAAACATCATCAATTCGGCGGGCTATAAAAATGGCAATTTCTTTCGCTTTCCCGAAATCGATCATGTGGTGCAGGATATGGTGCCGCCCGCAACTGCTGCTCTGGCAGCCGAGGAACCGGACAATCAGCAGCAAGCAAATGCTGTCGCTGTGGCCCAACTGCAGCAGGAGGCGGGTCGCCGCAATCGTAAGAACAAAAATAATCTCACCATACGCATCACAGACGTGCAGCTGGCCAGCAAAGGCAGCCCAGCACAGCCGGCAACGCCATCAACGCTGGCCAAGCCAAAGACGCCCACCATTAAGTGCACCAAAGAGAAGGCACGCTCCCTGGACTCGGCTGCCAACGAGACGGAGCTGTCGATTGTGGTGCATCACATAAATGAATCTCATGATATGTCCGCGCCGGGCAGCAGCAGTGGTCATGCCAATGCGAGCAATATGCTCATGCAGCCAAGTGCCTCCAGTCTGTACTCCACCTCGCTATCCCGGCTGGACACGCAACAGTCGCTGCAATGTCGTCGCACCACGCGCCGCAAATCTCCCGGTCTGAACAACAGCGATTGGCAGATGTATCATCGGAAACAAAATCCATATCAGAGTTCGCTGGACACGGATGAACTGAGGTCGGCGTCCAGCACGGACAGCAACGGTGGCAAATTCTCGTTGGGCGCCAACCTGGCGCCGCGCAGCGCACACAAACTGAATCCGATGCTGCACTCATCGAGCACCAATTTAAAAACGCTGCCCGAGTGTCTCACACTCGTGGAGTTTACACCAATTGTCGGCATGGAATCGCCATTCAAGCAAAAGTCCATGGACTTGCCCGGCAGTGGCCACATGCAGGCCAAGAGCATGGCCAGCTCTATGAATCTGCTGCAACGTCGCGGCTCCAATCACAGCCTCACACTGAATCTGCACAGCTCCTGTGGCAATCTGATGAACAGCGGCCTGAGCGTATCCAATTACAGTTTGGGCTCGGTTAGCAACTCCAAGTCCAGCTGCAATCTGGAGCAGCAGCAGCAGCAACAGCTCCAGCCGCCGTCGCAGCAACATCAGCAACAGCAGCAACAGCCGCACAATCAATTAACTGTCGCTGCGGGCAGCGCGCAGTGCACGCGCCAGGGCTTGTTCCGGCGGCGCGGCTCTAATCACAGCATCACACTAAAGACAAACAACACGACAAACTCGTGCGGCGAGCTTAACTCCATGGCCAATCAGACGCCCAGCCATGTGGCGACGACGCCCAAGCGCGGCCTGCTCGAGCGGCGCGGCAGCAATCAAAGCCTGACGCTCAACATGAGCGGCCAGCTAATTGGTGGAGTTGGCGTCGCTGCAGACCAGTTGCAGCCCAAGTTGACCGTGTGCAGCTGTGGTGCCGCCAATACCGCCCAATCGCCGCATCAGCGCAAGTTCTTCAGCACGGAGAATCTGAACAGCAATCGTGGCGGCAATAGTTCGCAGTATTTGGACTTTAGCAGCAAGCAGCCGCTGTGCTTTGGCTCCGCTTCGGATTTGCAGCCCAGCGAGCAGTCGAAGAACAAGTCGCCGGCGGCTCATGCAGAGCCCGGCGTTGTTCTGTGCAGCTGTGCGGCTGGTGGTGGAGGCGGCGGTGTCGGTGGTGTCGGTGTGGGCGTGGGCGTGGGCATACGCAACATTATGACACGTCCGCTCTCGCCGCAAACGACCAGCGAGGAATTCAAAATCTATTTGGCCAGCATACAGATGCTGCAGAGTGCCTCGAATCCGCTCAATCAATACGATTTGATCAAGCTGAATCATGTTTTCGATGACAGCTATAAGGTGAACTTGGAGCAGCCGCCGGTGTTAGTGCTGGGACGCGATGAGAGCGGCACGCCCACAAATCAGGTGCCACCCACATCAGAGGATAGCGAACTGTTGGCCATGTACCAAGCGGTGGTCAAGCGTATTGTAACGCCTCTGCCCCAGCTGAGCGACGATGAACAGAAGCGCATATTCCGTGATCTGCACAAGGAATTCTGGGATTTGCCGCTAAATCATCAGGAGAAGCCGATGGTGTTTGGCTCGCAGACAAAGAATCGCTACAAAACGATTTTGCCCAATGAACATTCACGCGTGCTGCTCGAGAGCGAGGCCACGGAGCTATTGAATCTGCAACAGCAGCACCAGCAGAGCTGCCTGCTGCAGCCACAAACCAGCAGCGAGGAGCTAATCAGCAAAACAACGCTACTGGCCAATAAGGATTTGCCCTACATCAATGCCAATTACATCAAGGTAAGCCTGAAAGATGCCATAGTCCAATCCAAATATATTTATCACCAATTTCGCTTCCAGGGCCCGGACTATGTGTCCAAGTGCTATGTGGCCTCGCAGGGTCCTCTGCCCAATACGATTTTCGAGTTTTGGCTAATGATCTATCAGAATACGCAGCGTTATATACGCCGCTGCATGGACGGCGGCGGCAGTAGTAGTCCGCATGTGGACAGGACGCACATCTTGCAGCAGTACTATCAAAAGATCGTAATGCTCACCAATTTCACGGAATGCAATCGGCAAAAGTGCGCCATTTATTTTCCCATTGAGCTAAATGAAATTTTTGCGGTTGCCGCCAAGGGTGAAGTCTTTGAGCTGAGCGCGCTGGCACGCGACTACTTTGAGCCGCATCTGCTGCCAACGCTGGACAGTGTCGAGTGTGGAGTCACTTCAAGTGAGCTGCAGCAACCGGCAACCGAACGGGAGTTAAACAATCGCTGGCACATAGCCATTGATTCGGTTAAAGTGATGCTGAGCGAATCATTGCGACGCACTTTGCCCGCCGATGGCAGTTTCTTTTTGGCCAAAAATGTGGGCATTGTGCGACGCAATGGCTATTCCGTGCGCAAACTGGTCGTGCTCTATTGCATCAATGTACCGGAGAGCGCGGGTCGGCTGGAGTATTATTTGCAAAAGATCTGCTGCTATCATTATTGGTATCCGGATTGGCCGGATCATCATTCGCCGCGGGATATTAATACGCTGCTGGACACCTGCCTGCATGTGCTCAATCTGGGCAAATGTGAGTCGGAGTTTGATAATTATGATGACAAGCGTTACACGCGCAATGCCCATTTGAGCGCCCAGCGTCTGGAGATCTACAAGCAGGACATCTTCAATGCGGTGCAACCGTTGCCGGTGATACACTGCTCGGCGGGCATTGGACGCACCGGTTGCTTTACGGCCATACTGAATGCGGTGCGCCAGCTGCGACAATCCCTTGCCTATTCGCTGACGGGCATGCTAAACCGAACGCTGACCATGGCAGATGTGGAGGCCATACAGAATGTCCGAGATGCGGATACAGAGTCCAGCTTTAGCTGCAATACGATCTTGCACATACAGCACATTGTCGAGCAGCCGGATGCGGTTAGTTTTGATCAGCTGCCCAAGATGCCGGACATATTTGTGGATATTCTGGGCATTGTTTGCAATTTGCGGCTGCAACGCGGCGGCATGGTGCAAAACTCGGAACAATATGAGCTAATACATCGGGCCATTTGTCTCTATTTGAAGCGCACTTTGGCGCTGCGACGTTTTTAGATTAGATAATTACCATAAAGATGACAATTTTGATCAAGATGATGATTAAGATATAGTTGTAGATGACAATGACGATGATGATGAGGAAGAAGAACAAAACACCAATTTACTATTTGTAAAAGAAGCAAATTTTGTGAAACTTATTTTAAAGGCAAAACAAAAAAAAAGAAAAACAACAACAACAAATGCGAATAACCATGGCTAAAAGAGTCTCGAACATATAAACTTATATACAACAAATATGGCATAGAGAAGATATGTTCTCAATGTTTGCTATATAAGCTTATTATCTATTATCTACACATTATTATGATTACGATTACTTATTATCATTATTATTATAAATGTTTATTAAGTGTTTTTTGGATGTATGTATGTTCAATGTGGTGTGCATGTATCTATGTACATAAGTGTAAATGTTTTCATTATTTTTCGGTGTGAGCAAACAAACAGAACACAAATATGCTTAAAAACAACAACAACAACAACTAAAACTAAAACTAAAGTTAATTATCCTTATTAATTACCTTATCTAACAAGCTGGCCTTTGGCAACAGGACAACAACAACAAGAACAACAGAAACAACAATGGTGAGTTGGTAAAAACCGTTTGGAAAACGTGAAAAGCTCAAACCCTTTATCAAGTTGTCTCGGAGCCTGCTCCGTTTCTAACTGACTAAAACACCAATTTTCACGGCTTTCGAACTGCCAGCTCGACCCTTGTTGTTGCTGCTGTGCGTCGTTTCACCCCATAGTTACAGCTAGAGTTCTTTCATGACAAAAACAAAAACAAAGGCAAAACAATTATATTGGAGAAAAACAAAAATGGAAATTTGAAAACTTGTATTAATGTTTATGCAATGGAACTAGTCAAATAAAACTTAGAAACATTTTAAATGTAATTATAAATGTGTAAAACGAATGCGTTTCAATGGAACTTGAGTTGGGCTCCAGTTGTTTAAGTAATCTATAGTTCTATAATTTTTTTGTTGTTAATTTTCCCTCATTTTATTTTGTGAGTTAACGGAGAGAATGATTTATTTATTATTTTTAGAAGTTATTTAAAATTTACTCAATTTTAACCTAGAAGAGAATTTTGCTTTCCTTTTTTGTAACTGCGATAGAAATTAATTGATGCTAATTTAATTATATATATGTATTTTAGACGTGTGTATATCAGTCCGTTGTGCCCGTCTAAGGGTTAAAGTCAAATCAGCTGGTTTTGTCTGTGCAAAACGAATGCGTTTTAATGGATCCTGGTTGGGGAATTCGTAAAGTTAAGTAAACGCCTCTCAATTTTTTTAATCAACTTTCCCTTATTTAATTTTGTAAGGAGAGAATTATTTATTTATCAGTTTTGGTAGTTATTCAAGAATTATCCAATTTTAGACTCGAAGCTAACTTTCCTTTCTTGTTTATCTCTGCCATACAAATTAGTTAAAGCTAGAATAATTTTTTTTTTATAATTCTCATAAAATTGCCGCATCATTATTGAATTAGCTTACTCATGATGATTCCGCTAGAGATTTTATTCATGCCTGTGTGTGTGTATCAGCCCGTCGTGCCCGTCTAAGGGTTAAAGTCAAATCAGCTGGTTTTGTTTGTGCGTCGTCTAAAGTTCATTTTTTAAACAGGTTTCGCTTTCGGACCGAAATTACATAGTGATTAGATTTTGTTTGTAGACCTAAGTTCCAATTATGTGGGCCTTCAGCACACTTCGCCGCGGACAGTATTCAATCAGTTGCCTCCGATTATTCAGCAACATGAGGGTAAGCCAAATAACATCAGGAAACAGTTGGTTACCTTAGTTGTTTTTCTCAATGTGCAGGTGAAGGTGCCTGTGAACCAGGGCGTTGTGGTTGGACAACGGCAACAGCTGCCAAGTGGCCTGCAATACGAGAGCTTTCTGGGCGTGCCGTATGCACAGCCTCCAGTGGGAGAGCTTCGCTTTCGGGTGAGTGCTACGCACAAGGAACCACTTGCAAACACTTGGTAACTTCTTGCTCCACTTAGAGCCCTGTGCCCCTGGCGCGTTTCAAGGAGCACGAGCTAGACTGCAGCAAAGAAGGCGACGTCTCGCACCAGCGTGATCCGTTCACCCAAGAAGTGATTGGCTCCGAGAACTGCCTCTTTCTCAATGTGTATGTGCCCAAGGGCAAGTCAGAGAAGCCGCTGCCCGTCATGGTGTGGATTCATGGTGGTGGCTTCTGGTTTGGCAATGGCAACAGTGACTAGTAAGTGAATCCCTGCAAATTTAGATGCATCATTATCCTAACTCCATTTGCAGTCACTTTCCTGCGCAGCTAATGCAAGAGGAGGTCATTGTGGTTACCCTGAACTATCGTCTGGGTGCTTTGGGCTTTCTCTGCTTACCCGAGGCGGGCATACACGGCAATGCAGGTCTGAAGGATCAGCGACTGGCATTGCAGTGGGTACAGGATAACATTGCCAACTTCAATGGTGATCCACAGAATGTGACACTTTTCGGGGAGAGCGCTGGCGCTGCTGCAGTGCATCTGCACACATATGCATCGCATGCCAACAAGCTGTTCCACAAAGCTATCATACAGAGCGGCACAGGTAACGCGGAGTGGGTATTCCAGCAGGATGCTCCGCACAAGGCACGCCGTCTAGGTGAACTGCTGCAAGGCAAGAATATTGAGCAGGCTAGCGGCCTGCTGGAATTCCTGCAGTCCAACGCGGTGACTCCATTGGGCATGCTAGCGAAAACCTTGGATGTGCTGACGGCTGATGAGCGACGTCGCGGCTTGCCACTGGCCTTTAAGCCAGTTATCGAAGATCCAAGCAGTCAGGATAGCTTCATAAATACGCAATTTCTGGACCTGCTGCATGAGAAGGAGCGTCTGCGTGGCATGCCCTTGTTGATGGGCTATAACTCTGGCGAGGGCATAGCCATGGTTGCCAATGCTCGGCGCAAGTTGGAGCTCTACAATGAAGATCTGGCGCGAGTGGTGCCGCGCAATTTGGTGGAAAACCCCAAGGCGCCAGAGGCATTCGAAGCGGCCGAGGACATGCGTCAATTCTACTTTAACGGGCAGACAGTCGCGCCCGAGCGGCTCGACAACCTGGCCGATTTGTTCACTGATTATCATTTCAACATCGACATGCAGCACGCTGCAGAGATTCATGCCAACTGCCAGCGCACTGCCCCATTGTATTTCTATCGCTTCGACTATGTGGGCGGCAGGAATATGTACAAGCGCATTTTCCAGGCGGAGAAACTGCGTGGAGCATCGCATGCCGATGAACTTTCCTATATATTCCAAATGGTGGATGACGATTCAACGCTGGAACCAGAGGATGCCAAAATGACTGAGCGCATGTGTCAGCTATGGGCTAACTTTGCTAAAAATGGAAAGCCATTGGACAGCTGGACGCCAGTGCAAAGGCAAGAGAGGGGTGCCAATGGCGTGCTCGAGCCCTTCCAATTGGACTATATGCTACTCGATCGGGAGTGCAAAATGCAGCGAAACCCAGATGCAGAGCGTATGGATTTCTGGCGTAGCATGTACAAGAGATATAGGTCCCAATGCTATGACGCGATGAGAGCAAAATTATAACGGATATATTTAAAAAATAAATAAATATACTCATAATATTTCGAATTTCAATAATAACTTATGAGAACTTATCGATATATTTTTGTAGTATTTTTGAAATACTGATAGCTCGATACTGGCGGCCATACTGAAAGTTTGAAGATCAATCAGCTGTCTATTTGTGCGTCGAAAGATCGGTTTAAAGTTGTAAAGTTATTAACAAGAAAAATTGTTTAAAGAAATATATCTGTTAAAATATATATGCTCATTAAAATTACAAATTCAATAGTTTTTTTAATTTAAATAATATCGATATGCTGAGCAGTATTTATATACCAAAAGTTCAGTCGTGAGCGATAGTAATATATCGAGAGAGTAAAACATATCGATAGCAAGTCGTTGCCTATTGCAAGTTAGTCATGGGTGCATTGTTTGGGAAATCTAGCAAAAAGACAGCTCCTAGTCGGATTACGGACCACGACAAGGCCGTTCTGGTAAGTACAACTTCTTGTCCAGCTGTATGTGCAACGTTACATATGCTAATCCCTTGGTAAACCGTAGCAATTGAAGCAGCAACGGGATCGTCTGAAACAGTACCAGAAGCGCATCGAACTGCAGCTCGAAAATGATAGACTGCTCGCCAAGAAGTGCCTGCAGCAGGGCAGAAAGGAGTAAGCAGCAACTGTAATGTACCAAAGCAACTTGATTAAACCAAGAAATCCATTTTAGCCGCGCCAAGCTGTTGCTGCGCAAAAAGAAGTATCAGGAAAGTTTGCTCTCGAACGCCGACAAACAGCTGGACAACTTGGAGAAGTTGGCCGCCGATTTAGAATTTGCGCAGGTGGAAATGAAGGTGCTGGATGGCTTGAAGCAGGGCAATGCTGCCTTAAAGAAGGTGCACGACATGCTCGACATAAACGAGGTTGAGAAGATTATGGACGAAACACGCGAGGGCATTGAAAAGCAACAGGAGATTGATGCCATACTAACGGATGTGTTGACCCAACAAGACGAGGACGATGTGCTCGCCGAGCTCGATGCGCTGGAGGCTGAAGAGCAGCGAGTACAATTGCCCGATGTGCCCAGCGAAGAATTGCCAGCCACACCAGCTGCAGCAGCAGCGGATGACCTTGAGGATGAGGAGGACGAGCAGGAGACAGCTGCAACCAAAACGACCAAAGTAAAGGACAGTGCAAAAAAGGTGCTGGTGGAAGCCTGAAACCAATGCCATTTACTTTATTCATCGAACTAAGCATAACCTTTGTATGTATGTAAATCCCATGTACGTATGAGTCCTTTGTGAAACACATATATTTTTATATAAGATTATTTCCAATCAGACTCGGCAGCTGTTGTGCACATCGCATTTCCATTGACTCCAGCATTTACATTAGACTCTCCAGTGTTCTGTTAGACTTTCTGGCAGATTTCCTGCCAGATCTGCGCACATCCTCACGGACGCGTGAGCGCAGGCTTTTGTTCTCATCGCGCAGACTTTCGATCTCCTCCAGCAGCACCACATTTTCCTGGAACAGTTTATCGTATTTCTTCTGGACGCTCTTGTCTTCCGCTACGGACTTGTAGCGCGCCAGCACAGTCTCGATTTGTTTGCGCTGGCGCAAGAACTCATCGCGCACCTCGGCATCGAGTGTGACGAAACGCTTGAGCTCATCATCGTTGGCATGCTTTTGGAACAGCTCCTTGACCGCCTTCTTGAGGCCATCGGCGGTGCCCACCTCGCCGGCCACATAAAAGATGTCCGTGCAAATGGCATTGAGGCATTCGCGAGCGGCCTTCGCGCGATGTCGCTCGGTGCGCAGCTCGGTCACATTGCTGAGATACTTGTCGCGCATCTCCTTGAGCTGTAGCTCCAGCTGTATGTTGTTCTGATTGAGACCCTCCAGTTCGTGCTCCATTTCGATAATATGTTTGCGCTTGTCGTTGATCTGGAACTCGCGGGGCTCTATCTGTGCCTTCAGCTCGGCTATTTTGTGATTAAGCACCTGCTTGTATTTGTCCAGTTCCTGGTTCTTGTGCAGCAGCTCCTGTATGCGCTTCTCCTTGGCACCGATGGCATAGTCGCGATCCGAGATGTCCTTCTGCAGATCCTCGACATTGCGCAGCTGCTTCTGCATTTTCATTTGCGACTTGAAATGCTCCTCCTTGAGTGTTTCCACCTCCTCTAGCAGATTGTCGATCTCCCGGCACTGGGATTCGTATTTCTTTTGGAGCACACCGGCCTTGCCGCGCCACATCTGCGTCTCGTTGCGCTCCGTGGTCAGCTTGTTCTCGTATTCGGTTTGCGTGGCAACCATGTTGCGATCGTTTTCCGCCTCCACTTCCTGGCAGTATTTGATGAACTCGTCCTTCTTGTCCTGCATCTCCTTCATGAGCTCACGTATGAGATCCTTGCGTTCGTCCAACTGCTTCTTGTAGTCATTTTCCAGCGCTTCTATCGTGTCCTGCAGCGTGCCCGTCGAATTCTTCAGCTTATCCTCGTAGCTCTCGCGCAGCTCCAGCATGTTCTCGCGCAGATTGGTGAACTTCTGATATTCGATGAGCATGCGCTCGGAATATTGACTGGCCAGTATGTCCATTTGGGAGCGATGATCCTGCTTCATATCGTTGATCTGGAACGTAATCAGATTCATTTCCTCCGTGTGCTTGGACACAATCTCATTGTTGAGCTCCTTGAGCTCCTCCAGAGCGCTGCAATAGCTGCGATGCACCTCCTGCAGCTGCTGGCCATCGAATATCTCATTCTGGCTCAGCTGATACTGGAATTCCTCGGCTTGCTGCTTCAGACGCAGCTCCAGATTGGTTATCTGCTCCACTTTATCGCTCAGCTGGGTGCGTGGTATGAGCACCTCCTGGCTCTTCATCAGATCCTGATCGATGGGTGCCACCTTCTCCTCAATGTTCTCCATTGTCCAAATGGCAACGGTGCCACGTTTGGAGATCGCCACCAGCATCGTTCCTTCGTACGTGAAACGCAGCTTATTGATGGGTCCATCGAAAAACCGGAAGTTGGTAAAGGTGCCGCCGCCGGCTTCCAAGAACGGCAGCTGCATATTGAACAGCCCGCCCTCGTGATCCGCAATGAACATGATCAGATCGGAGCGTGCCAGGCATAGATCCGAGACGGCACCCTTGTTGCGCGACGGCACTGTTATCTCGCGCTGCAGCGTCGAGTCCTGGAACTCGCGTATGGTGCCGTGATTGGTGCCCGCAAATATGGTCATCGGCTCGTTAAAGCTGACGCAGACGGTCACATATTCGGTGCCCTTTTGCACGATCTCCTGGAGGCGTGCGCCAGTCTCAATGTCCCACTGATAAATGGCGCCCTCCGCTCCGCCGGATATCAAATACTTGTCCGTGCGCGTCCAGGCGACGGAGAGAACGGTGCCATTGTGTCCCTTCAAGTGTATGACCAACTCCAGATTATACACAGATGTCACTGCTATATTGTTGTCATAGGCAGCCGCCATCAGGTGGCCAAAGTTCGAGTATCGCACATCGTTGCAGTGCGGAAAGTTGTACGTCTTGACAATCTACGGGTGGGTGGTGGAGGAGAAGGGAATCAATCAAAAGATGGAGGATTGTATATAAAATACTTGCGTTCAGCTCATCCATAAAGATCTGCGTGATGCGCAGCTGATCGGAGAAGCCAATGGCCGCCATGAGGCCCGTGGAATTCAGCTCCACAATGTTGACATCCACCTGAAACTTGCGCACCAGCTCCACCTTGGCCGTCTCATAGTTCCAGATGCGTATGGTCTGATCTCGTGCTGCAAAATAAGGCGCACTTAAAGACAGGTAAAAGCTGTGGATCCAAATCTCACACACAAGCTGTCATAATGATGGGTTTCCAGGCGCAGACGGACAGAGCGACCACCTCGCCGATGTGGATGAGCACGCCCAGCGGCTCGAACTTGAGCTGTTTGGTCTTCAAGGTCTCCGGCACAATTAGTATGCCCACATAGATCTGGGCATGGGCGCAGGTCACAATCACCGTTTCCTGCTTGTGATCGATGGCCAGATTTGTGATCTGATAGAGGGGCTCCGCATATATCGAGATGGGCACCGTCAGCACGGTCTTGCGCTCAAACTTGAACTTGGACACGCGCTCGAAGACGAACACCTTGTTGAAAATGATGTAAGCGAAGCCTCTGGCAAAGGCGGTCATGCAGAGCACACGCCAATTGGCCAGGACCAATGGCTGTATTGCCGAGTAGCGTTGTTCCTGGGCCTCCCGATCCTTGTCGAACATCTCCTGGTCGATCATTAGGTCAACCGTTTCGGCAACGCTGGCCTTCTGGCTAAGCTTCTGCTCACCGTTCTCCACCAATATCAGCTGGTCATGATCGGTGCCCATCATGAGCAGATCCATCGATAGAAAGGCCATCGAAGTGACACGATAGTTGATCTTCAAGTTGTTGCTAATGGTAAATCCACGCTCCGATTTGCTCAACAGCAGCAGGTTGCGATCCCCGGCCACGGCCAGGAAGCCGCAATCGTTGGGATTGCCGGCAATGCACTCGGCGCCGCCATGGGAGCCCGGCAGAGTGGCCCGACCCTCGATCACTGTGCTCGTCTTGTCCAGCACCAGCATGAAGACCATCTCGTTGGGCGGTCTGGTCACCAGCGCAATGGCACGCGAGTCATTGGTAAAGATCATTTGCTGCACCTGCGCATTGCGATGGTTGCCAGGCAGCTCCAGATGGCGACGTTTCTTCAGCGTGGACAGCTCATAGATGGATATATAGCGACCGCTGTGGTTGGCACAAAATAAGCATTAAACTAACTTTCCCAGCGCTGGCTCTTCCACTTACTTCCTCGCGTGCAGCTCCAGCACGGCCAACAATTTGCGATGCGAGCTGAGTGCAATGATTTCCGGCGTGGTGTCCTCCGGAAAGCGTAGAAAACGCTGCTTATTGGTCACATAATCGTGAAAGGCGAGCACACCCTCCACCGGATAGATGACCTCCTTGGTCAGATTAAAGTTAATGTTGCCAACGACATCCGTACGCAGGCCATAGATAAGCTTCGGCCGTATGGATACCGAATTAACAATGGACGGACGTTTTTCATCCATTTCCCGTGTGTTGCTTAGAAAAAATATATTTATAAATCGGAATTGGCTGTGGTAAATATTTATGCAATTTTTTTTTGTGTGTATATCTTAAGCTCGCGAGTAAAAATTCAAATAATTTCGATCAAACAACGGAAGGAATTGTTAAGGCAGCCCTGACAGCAAATTCCATGGCATCCCGGGGCCTGGGAAATCCAACAGCATGTTGTTTTTTTTTGTTTTTGGCGCGTAAAGCTCTCCGTAATCAAACAGCGGCAAAAGCGCATGAATAAATAATTAAACGCCTTCAAGTATGCTTTTAATTTCATAGGACGCACTCGAGGCACCAAAACTACAACAACAACATTCTAAGGGTCGAAACACCCCCGCACATTGGTCGCACTTGAACTCGAATAATGCGCTTAAAATGCCCAAAGTCGGTCTCTTCAGTCAATCAGTCATCCAATCAGACAGTGAGTCAGCCCGCTGGCAGTTAATAACACACACACACACACACACACTGCCACCGCCCAACCCCCCCGTTCAGCAGCAACCGCGACCTAACACAACGCAAAGCTTTCAGCAAGCCAAAAGAGCGCGCATGTAAGAGTAAGAGCAAAAGCTCTGCTGGCCGAACACGGCAAGAAATTGTTGTAAACATAACGGCAACATAAGCAACACACTTGCTGTCAACTATCTTTGTCTGCCTGCCGCATTTCGTGCAGTGCTCGCTGTGCAGCCCTCGCAGTCACAATTGCGCTCTCTTGCTTGCATGCGTAAAGAGTGCGCAACAGAGTGTTCCCATTGAAGCGAAGGCGCGTTCAGTTGTAGTTTACGCGTCGGCCGCAGCACAACGCATTCAAGCAGGCGGAAAAAAAATAAACCGTTGTGTGCTCAAAGCAAAGTGTACGAAATAGGCAAAGACAGACATCAGCAAAGCGCAGTTCAGTGTGCTGCCTGGCCAGTGCTGTTTAGTATTGTGTTATCAGTGGCGGCAGCGACAGACCCAATTGTAGCGTTGACAGGTGGAGAGCAGGTGGCGGCAGAGCCGGTGGCAAAAAGCCACAAAGACCAAAGTAAATTATACACTTAAAAGCAACAATACAAATACAAATACAAATACGTGTGTATAAATATATATTTTGTTAAGCGCTGGTCTCCTATATACACATAATTTGGAGTGTGGAGTGTGTGTGTGTGTGTTTGTGAACTGCCTACCTTTCCTGTCTCTGTGTGTGTTTGTTTGCTGTTCGCGCCTCTCAATTAACGCCCCGGAC